TGAGTCGGTCATCACAAAGCTGAGAGAGGCGAACGTGATCCCCGTGTTCGTGCCAGCAAGCTGCACGGGAGAACTCTAGCCCTAATGACGCTGATGGCGGGATCAACGCCGCCCTGAAGGAGGGGTTTGCAGAGGTTTGTAGAAAATGTCTCTCAGTCTCACACTACAGTACTGGACTAGAACGGTCACCATTTTGTTTGTTTGTTTTGAGATGATGCCATAAGAAAGACTAGCACTTTTTGGGATTGATCTTAGGATTCTATGTTAATGATATCAGATTCATTCAGTGAATTTTTAAACTTAACGTGTTCTGTTGATTTTGCAACATCTTAATGCAAGTTTGCTTGTCGATTAATGTGTAATTTTGACCTGTTGCATGTTGTAAATTTTTTGAACAGAAATTTGTCTAACGCTTCGCTTGGGTGACGCCATTTTCTAACAGTTACAGTACTAGTAATTTCTTTGTTGCTAACGATCTACATGTAGTGTACTAGTAACGCAAAATTGTACAGTACCAAATTGAATGTATTTGACTTATATTTTTCTACTTATCTTGTACGAGAAATTCCTTGTTTGTACAATATTTTCTTAGTAAATGATAGATATGAGAAGCAGTGTAATCAATGTAACGACCTAAATTCACGAAAATGCAAGTAAGATGAATGACACAATCTTGTGCTTCTTGAATAAAGAATTTATTCCTTGAAAAGCATTTGTGTTTTAGTTGTTATTGTAGAAGGGATTTAAAAACTTTTTTGCTGTTTTAAGCTGTGATTTCAGGTGATATTGAAAGGTTAAGTTTTACAGTAACTACAGTGCAATTCATTTTTTATCCATTGACTGAGCATATAGTAGAATAACTCCTATTCATCCAACCTATGATGATCCCATGCAAAGGCTTATAGGAAAGGCTATCATTTGAGAATTTTTAATTAATGGCGATAATTAGGGCACCTGAATTCGGCAAATACACATGGGTACAAGACCAACATGTGTCATGCCTCACCTCAAAGTACAGCGATCATCAACAAACAAAAGACATATTGCACATCAAAATTAATAGTAGAGGTATCGTGCAATTATAGTGCTTATGACAAACAAATCGTAAACTTGCAATTTGTTCATTATCTATGGCCACAAGTCAAATTTGGAAAATATGGCGATAATTAAATTAGGATCAGGGATCATACTTATACCTACAATAAATGATACAATATAAGGACCAAGATTGCATACTTCATCCTCAAAATCAAACCAGTGTAAAAGTATTGACTGCTTCATACAATTATATACCAATGGCAGATACAATTTGGCAATTATGAAGACTAAAATCCAGTAAAATACCAATGTGACAACCTCTGATTTGATACGCCTTTCCTAAAAAAACGAAATAATTTGAATTATTCTCACTTGTGCACAGGTTTAAAATTTGGGAGCTCATAAGTGCATAATAAAGGTACCAAGTTAATAATTTTTTGCCTTGGGAAGTCTTGTTCACGCCACGTTGTTTTTTTTATGGGTTCACCACACCACGAAGTGGTGTGGTGAAACCATATTGCTTTTTCTGATGTTTCTTCTTCTCCTTCTCCTCCTGCCATTTCTTTAAATGGATTCAGCTTCTTCATTTTAGGGCCTAAGGTCCTGAAATTTGGTATGGAGGTACAGTGGGCAAATACCCCTAGGCGTTTTTTAAATTTTGCTGATACAAGCTTTTACAATCGTTTTATTTGCTTTTTTAGCGGTCCCCATAGGAAAGTACTGCGGGGGCGTACGCGCGTGACGTAATAAGAAAGGAATTCGGCGGTATGCCCATATATGGGCATGCAAGCATGAACCTGACGCAGACCAATCTTTTCTTCTTGCTGATTGGCTGTTGGATTTGATTGGATTAACTCAATTAACACCTGTTCAAAGCCATTCCATTTTGACAGTATGAACTCAAGTGTTTTGGTAGGTACAGCACAGGCCACGAAATACGCATCAATTTTCGAGGGACGTTCTGCGGGAGAGTGCAGGACGCTGTGCGGGACTTCCCTCGGGAGAGTGCGGGACGTCCTCCGGGAGAGTGCGATACGTTCTGCGGGAGAGTGCGGTACGTCCAGCGGGAGAGTGCGGTACGTTCTGCGGGAGCCAGACATTTTGCTCTTCTCTGTTGGAACAACGCAAGTTGGAGGTCAATGACCTGCGCCCGGCGTGTAAACAAAAAAGTTACGCGGTACGTAATGTGTATCGTCGGCGCGCGCGCCACGGTATCAACAATTTTCCGCAATCTTTACCAACTAGTATTATCTAGGTTCTGTATATCGATCTCCGAAGTATCACCAAAATTGTAGGGTTGATAGTTAAGTAACATCAAGGTGGTTCAAAAGCAAACCTGATAAAGAAGGAAACCCCGTAGTTAATAGTTGAAAGTCTTGGTGCCTTGAAGCGATCGATACCGCCATGCTGTTTACTTTTTATGACATACAATGCAGTGAGTGATGTGTATCGCACCGAGTTAGCTCGGTTGGAAACGCGCAAGGCGGCAATCCCAGGCATTGCAAGTTCGAACCCCAGTGCATCGGACATAAATATTTTTAGCAATTTAACATTTTTAACAATTTTATAATTTTTAACAATTTTATCAGTTTTAACGATTTTAACAATTCTGCATTTTAACAATTTCAACTATTTTTTTTTATTTTCGTTGTTTTGCTTTTTAACATTCAAAAACTGATTGTTCTTACTCAAGAATGTCAATAACTTAGAATGTTAGTCTTTTGTATTTTTCCAACATACAAACTAAAATCACTTTGATGTTGTCACAAAAGTATTGAGCTGACAAGAGAGAAGGAGTACGGTACTCTGCCAGTGTGAAGAATCTACAGAGGTATTACCAGTCACTAGTAGCAAGAGATAGACCACATTTAATGATGACGATGAGGACGAATCATATGAAGTACTATCATAGCTAGTACAGAAATTCTACTGCTTTACTTTACTTTCTTTCACTCTGTACATGCAATTAGCTCACTGGCATGATTTTAAAAATAAAGGTTATGATAATCATATTATATGTATAGCTTATTCAATGTATGGCTTCATAGTTTATGTGATTGTTGATAACACCTGCACAGAGCATTTCCATACTGACAGTATGTCTTTATTCAAGTGTTTTGGTAGGTATTTCAAGCTTTTCTGCTCCAGCATTGGAATGCGGGGCATGAACGTTTTTTTTTTATTTTGAAAATCAACAGTTTGCATTATGCAATTAAAAATCCTAACCAATAAAGTAGGGAATAGCTATCCAACTGTTGTTTTAGTTGTATGTTACTTCATATTATAGTTATATCAATGTAAATCATTGTTTTCCCTTGTGTTTCTCATTCTTTCCCTGCCATGTCGTAAAATGTGGTGAACCCATCGCTGTATTTGCTCCAAAGCAAATATTGGCCTTTCTAGTTGTTTTTTGTTTTTTTTGGGGCGGGAACGTTGAGTGGGCACACGTGCGGTACGTTCGCGTTCCAAAAGGTGTCAACTGGTTCACAGAGCCAAACCGGGGAAATTTCCAACAAAACATGTTGTTAACCGTTTAAAGCAGCGAAAATTTCTCCAATCTTGTTTAAATGCCACTCAACACGGAATGAATATATCAAGTGTTCCCCAAAGCCTTGGTCAAGAAATTCTCTATAACGTCACATGTAAAATGGCCTAAAACATAAAATTATGTACGAGAATGGCGTTCCACGAAACACAAAACAGAATATAACGTGACTTGTTGCTACTGGTTTGTTGGAAGTACAAACACTACTTTTTTTTTAAGGAGATAGTGTGCTGTCTTACCTCGCCAGAACTCTCTCAGCACCACGCCGTCCTTCCCGCCATGGTAGTCGCCATTTTCTCCTGACGTTTCTTCTCCGTATTTCGCCCTGCCTGGAGATGCGCATTTTCTCCCTCAAACATCCAAACAACGGCGTAAATCCATCCTGGAATCGTTCCTACGATATACTGGACACTTTTGACGGATAATTTCCTGACAACAAGCCGAAAATGTACCCCAAAAGTTGGAGAGAATTCACGCACAGCACACCGCACCACAACGTGGGTCACACAGCTGCTAATAGAACGGACCGTACCATGTGATAATTACATAGGGGGTGCAAACGAGATTAATCATTATTGCTCTTGATAATTAACTATCACCATTCCACCACCAAACAAAAGTTATCATTCTCGCCTTTACTTTCAAACTTCTTTTCTATGCCAAACCCAACAGTCAGGATACCTTCTGCCACAGCAAATGTTTATATCCCCAAACTTGTAGATGCCCCCCCCCCATTTGTTAATTATAGTGTGGGCCTCTCCTTGGTGCTGAACTCACCATCAGTTCCATGTATTAAGTATTGCAGTTGTGAATATTGTACTAGACGTTTTGTTTGACACAACAAAACATCCATGGAAAAGCAGGTGGTTGATGTGTTTTAGTACTTATAGTTATATATATATATAGTATATAGTACATCCTGTATATTTTCCCCGCAGAGCTTTTGATAATGTTCAGTGACAGTGCAATTTGCTTCATCATTATGTGCACAAACCTAGCTCTTCTGTGGGCTATTGTGGCATGGAGTCGGAAAAAGATGCACGTTTCAAATACGATCTGATGCTCATTCCGCAAAATCAGTACAAAAATCATATAACAGTTACGTAAAACTACATAACAAGGAACATTAAAAACCATGCAATAATCCAATAAGCACATACATCTTCCGGTACACGTGACCTAATTTTTTCAGTTTTATTTCCAAATTGCATTGGATGCCTTTAATGGAAGTAGGTTGCCTTGTTTCAAAACACAAGTACAAAAGAAAACAACCTATTCTATAGTTCAACCCTAAAGGTCAAATGCTGTGCTATCAGTAGTCAGTCTAGCCCCGGGGTGTTGCAAGTAACTGCCTACAACAATAGAACCAGCGAAATGACGTACTGCAATTATAAGTTATGGTATGATTTTCGTGCTTGTTCTGTTTCCTTGTCGGAGGTAGAGCTGTCTTAGGGGCCGCTTTTGACAAATTTGCTCCTTTTCTTGACGCCACAGTTATATTACATTTATTAGCTATCGTTACGGGAGTAAGATGTCATCAGATAAGCTAACTTATGGTCGCTTGGTGCCCGAGAGGGGAACTCGCGGCCGCCGGGAGCGAACAGGCGGCTTGCCCGGGTCTTGGGTAGCGCTGCTGCTGGGGGCGGGAGCGGTGGTCGCCTCCGCTGCGGTGGTGGCCGTGATCTTGCAGAACATCGGACACGAGATGGGAGATCTCCGGGCAAGAGTGGAGAGGGGACAGGAAGACATCGCTAAACTCCAAGCCCGCGCAGAGAGCGCAGAGAGAGACCTAAAAGAGGCGCAAGCTCGGGCAGAGAGGGACCAATCCAAACTCCTGCAGGAGATTATGTCCCTGAGAGAGAGGGTTGTGGTGCTGGAAACACAAACCCTAGACGGAAGTCTTCCACCGAGCCACGCCGAACAACAAACACCTGACGTACGTAAATTTTACAACTTCAGGTATATTTCCACTATGGTGCACACAGTCACTGGCAAGAACCTACCGAGTATTTACAGACTCCCTGGACTTATAAGATAATAACAGCAATCATTGTATCAAAAGTAAATATTGGTTTGGACTTTTAAAAACATAATCGCGGAGCATACCATATAGTTTAACTGCAGTGTTCTACACAATCTGAGCGGCATCGGCAATTTCTGAGGTCTTTGGAGATTCTACCAACAAATGATGAATAGAACAGAGAGCATATGTGTAACTAGCCTCTTCCAGGATTTTGAATTAGCATGGAAAGAAAAGGATGGTCACAAAGGCGCCAAAAGAGTAGAAATTGGCCAAACAGGCAGATAACACGCCCGGTTAGTTCGCTAAAGGAGTACAGTTTGCCGCTCTCTGTACTAAGCGGATTAACTTCTCTGGCGTGTTAAGTGTCCATTTGACCAGTTTCTACTCTTTCCTTTCCAGTCTCCTCAGAAGCCTGGTAGAGGCTAATGTATGACCGTTTCCTTGTGCGTATGTGCCAAACTATATTTGGCTCTTGTTCAATTCTGCTCTGTGTTGTGTCAATTATAATGATCACGGGTTCATGCAGATTTGTCACAGTAGACTGGAGATTATCTTTCCGACAGACTGGTCCTGTGTCGAACCCTGAAGGAGACTCTAGTGACATCAATACGGGGGTGCAGAGCCGCAATGACACGCTAGGGGGACATCTGTACCGGCACAAAAGGGAGGCACCGAACGCGAACTGGGTCCGACTTCCCGCCATCACATGTGGGGGAGTTGAAGCCCATTCCTTTTGTGGCTAGCTGGGATGGTTGACTGTTGTCATACTTTTGCCGGTTTCGTAGTTTAAATGATAAGGGCCTAACTATTAAAAGGGGCTATGCTATAATTTCTTTGGGGTCATGCTGAAGCTCTGGAGCCGTCCAGTCTGGCACCCAGGGTAGCCCTGGAGCCTGAATATGTTCAATGAATTCCTAATAACCCTTTTCTTTGCTGTCACACATCTGTTTGTGTCCGTTCTACTTTATTTTGTTGCTACTGTCCAGGCCAGGCCGGTCGAGACGGACGCGATGGCATTCCGGGGGCCTCCGGACTCCAGGTCAATCAATCAATCAATCAATCAATCAATCAATCAATCAATCAATCAATCAACCAATCAATCAATCAATCGGTTTATTGATAAAACAAGGAATTTGCAGCCACAGGCTGAATTACATCCTGTTGTACAATTAATTCATTTTAAAATTCATTGGTATACAATAAAAATCATCAAAGTTATTTACAATTACTGCCATTAAAACTTGACACATTAAGATCGAAAACACTGATTGACTTTATAAAAGGAAGGATAACATTTCTTTAACGTTCACATAACAGACATTACATACAGATAGCAATTCATGTGCTCATACATGATTATCATTACTCATGATAGCCACAAAAAAAGGATTTAATGTTGACTTACCATTCTTATAATTTCTTTCTGAAAGGGCCCGCCTGGACAGAAAGGAGACCTTGGACAGCCTGGAACTAAAGGGGCCAAGGGGTGGGGGTGAGTTTAGTATCAATCGCAGAACTCGGAATTTTCGACCGAATCTCTCGGCCTTCGTCAGCTCTCTGAATCAAGTGCTGCAGACACGTGAGATTATCTACATCAGGGCACACCAACCTCCTCTCAACAGGGATGGTGGTCGGTACCGACTTCCGATGACCTTTAACCCAGTGCTGACGTCACGTGCGGAAAAATCCCATTACTACAACACGAGCCAGATATCTGATGAAGAACGAGAGATTCGGTTGAAAATTCTGATGAGTCAATTTTTATTATGTAACTTACCAACTCAGATGAACTTTCATGTTACTTACACTAAAATTGTTGATATTAGGAGCGAAGGGGGTCAAAGGAGACACCGGACTGCAAGGGCCCAAAGGAGAGAAAGGCTCACAAGGGGCTTCTGCAAACAATGGTTTAGGTGAATACTGTTTATTGTAGAACGGTCCTTCAAAAGAAACGGTCCTTCAAAAGAAACGGTCATTGAAACCAAATGTATCTGTAGAGATACACACAAGTTACATTGGGAAATTATAGTCGTGTTCAAAAGCATTATTACAGCAGTAGAATGCAGATTGTGCCACCAAGAGATGCACGAGAGATCCGGTTGAAAATTCTGATGAGTCAATTTTTATTATGTAACTTACCAACTCAGATGAACTTTCATGTTACTTACACTAAAATTGTTGATATTAGGAGCGAAGGGGGTCAAAGGAGACACCGGACTGCAAGGGCCCAAAGGACAGAAAGGCTCACAAGGGGCTTCTGGAAACAATGGAATAGGTGCATATATCATTGTATAGCTACATCATTACAGTACGGTCATTCAAAAGAAACGGTCGTTCAAAAGAAGTCTGTCATTGCAAAATCTTCGACATTATCAAAAACTTATACAACCAGTCCGAAGCCAGTGTCAAAACTAGGAATGGCCTAAGCGAAACTTTCCCTGTTGAAATCGGTGTTCGGCAAGGATGTGTTTTAAGCCCCACCCTATTCAACCTGTACATTTGTGACCTCATAGACAAACTCAATGCAGAAAACCTAGACGCCCCCTGTTACAATCTTCAAAAATAAATAGCCTATTTTATGCCGATGATATTGTTCTTTTGTCGGAAAGTAAGCAGGGACTACAGAATGCAATTAACCGTTAGTGACTCTCGGCCGATATTGTAAACAATGGAAATTAACTATCAACGTAGCAAAAACCAAAGTTATAGTGTTTAACAAAAGAGGCCTTTTATTGTCTAACATTAGTTTCTCATTATATGATAAAGAGATAGAGATAGTTCCATCATATTGTTACCTAGGAGTTATGTTTACAGCAGGATGTACATTTAGCGCTGCCATGAAAAATTTACAAGAGAGAGCCTCAAGAGCAATGTTCAGCATCAGAAGTACTCTTGGAGAATCTAGATCTTCCGTATCACTTCATTGTAAACTGTTTGACACATGTATTGTACCAATATTATTGTATGCATCTGAAATTTGGTGCAGTAGCAATATGAATGACAAGTCTGCAATAGAAGCTGTACACTTGAAATTCTGTAAATACATTCTCGGAGTTCGGAGGAACGCCAGTAACTTCGCATGTAGAGCGGAACTGGGACGTTTCCCTTTACTGATAGAGGCTCAATGCAAAATGTACTGTTACTATTTCAGATTAGCCAACGAAGTACATACAAGTAGTCTTCAATATGAAGCCTATATGGTACAACAAGAGCTAGATCGCCGAAAAACACCCTGCTGGTTATCTAATGTACGAAAACTGTTAGAGGAGTCCGGCTTTGCAGGTAGGACGTCAGTCCAGTTGAGGCCGCTAGTACTACCGGTAGGGTGCAATAGAGAAACACAAATTTACGTTAAAATCTGTTTTTTTTTTAATTTTGATTTTTATTTTTCACAAGAGAAAACCAGGCAGAGGTCGGAAGATGGGGGTCGGCCAAATCGACTCAAACTTTGCATGTGAGATAGGTATGGGGAACTATGAACAGCCATATATTTAAAACCCTCCAGATATTTTTCATTATGGAGATCTGGGACCCCCCTCCGAAATCAGGTAATCGCTGAAAATTACTGAACTTACGATGACTGCACTGATGATTCTGATAAAGCTATGGATAAAACGTTTATACATTTGTATTACCACATTGCATAGCTTTTCTATAGCTAGTTTTACATACCCAAAGTTCAAGAGGACACCTAGAAGCTATGAGGGTGTGACAGGGGGCTACCGGAACCAATGAAAGCAGAATTTATATCTCTATGCATTTTAGTCATCTTTAAGGCGCATTATCTCATATGGCCAGTGGCTTTGGTGAATGGTTTTACTGTGGTTTGAGAGAGGAACATCTACTGATTTAAAAACAAGCGTCGTTGGATTGGGCCATACATAACGCGAGCCGTGACTGGGGGGATTTTCGGGTTTTGGACTATACTAATCGGGCAATGACTTCTCACTACTGGGTACGTTAGGGACAATGTGGGCATGTCAATGTGTGATAATCTTTAGACAATTATGAAAGAAGCTTTCATGAATTAGGAATGTTGATTTGGGCTCTATATGGAGGATATGCATGGGTATACCTGTGGAACTAGGCTAATTTTACACTTTTTTTTGCTTTCTGTTAGCTGTATTTTTAGCATGTTTTGGGGCTTTTTTTACCGGGGTTTCTTTTTTTTCACTGGGATTTTTTTCACCCAACCGAAACAAAAAAGTTCAGTGCAAAAACCAAACCCTGATACAGAAAGCATAAAAACACGCCAAAAAAACCCCCAAACCTCTGCTTGGAGAGTATGCAAAGGCAAGATAATTCACCTTTGTCGCTTTTTCTTTCACTCACTCACAAAATCACTCACACAGGCTCACATTTTAAATGCCTGTCAGTCAGTTACTCAGTCACCTATATTAGCGCCATCTAGCAATTCACACAAGAAATGCAGGACTTAAGGTATTCAACAAATTCTTTTTATTCTGCAAGCCTTATGATGTCATTGAAGTTTTTTTTTTCTTTTTTGTATTCAACGAATTCTTTTTATTATACCTTATCATGACATTGAAGTTTTTTTTCTTCTTTTTGTATTCAACAAATTCTTTTTATTTCTGCAAGCCTTATTATGTCATTGAAGTAGTTTTTTCTTCTTTTTTGTATTCAACAAATTCTTTTATTCTGCAAGTCTTATCATGTCATTGTAAGTTTTTCTTTTTGTATTCAACAAATTCTTTTATTATACCTTATCATGACATTGAAGTTTTTCTTCTTTTCTGTATTCAACAAATTCTTTTTATTCTGCAAGCCTTATCATGTCATTGAAGTTTTTTTCTTCTTTTTTGTATTCAACAAATTCTTTTTATTCTGCAAGCCTTATCATGTCATTGAAGTTTTTTTTTCTTTTTGTATTCAAAAAATTCTTTTTATTATACCTTATCATGACATTGAAGTTTTTTTCTTCTTTTTTGTATTCAACAAATTCTTTTTATTCTGCAAGCCTTATCATGTCATTGAAGTTTTTTTCTTCTTTTTTGTATGTACATGTACTTTTTATAAGTCAACTAACTATTTCAAGCAACTGCTTCAACTAAACTAAACTTTTGTAGTTAACTAAACTGCTTGCTGCACTCCTCACACCTTTAAGGTTTTTTACCAGTGTGAGTTTTCATGTGTCTCTTCAGATGATCCAGCCGACTAAACTGCTTGCTGCACTCCTCACATCTGTAGGGTTTCTCACCAGTGTGAGTTTTCATGTGAGACTTCAGATGACCCAGCAGACTAAACTGCTTGCTGCACTCCTCACATCTGTAGGGTTTCTCACCAGTGTGAGTTTTAATGTGAGACTTCAGATTACCCAGGTGACTGAACTGCTTGCTGCACTCCTCACACTTGTAGGGTTTCTCCCCTGTGTGAGTCCGCATGTGTTTCTTCAGATTATCCAGCAGACTGAACTGCTTGCTGCACTCCTCACATCTGTAGGGTTTCTCACCGGTGTGAGTTTTAATGTGAGACTTCAGATTACCCAGCTGACTAAACTGCCTGCTGCACTCCTCACATCTGTAGGTTTTCTCACCAGTGTGAGTTTTAATGTGAGACTTCAGATGACCCAGCTGACTAAACTGCTTGCTGCACTCCTCACACTTGTAGGGTTTCTCCCCTGTGTGAGTCCGCATGTGTTTCTTCAGATTATCCAGCAGACTGAACTGCTTGCTGCACTCCTCACATCTGTAGGGTTTCTCACCGGTGTGAGTTTTTATGTGTCCCTCCAGACTAACCAGCTGACTAAACTGCTTGCTGCACTCCTCACATCTGTAGGGTTTCTCACCAGTGTGAGTTTTCATGTGAGACTTCAGATGACCCAGCCGAATAAACTGCTTGCTGCACTCCTCACACCTGTAGGGTTTCTCCATGTTGCGAAGAATCTGCAGAGACAAAATGAAGCATCATTAAAAACCCAAAAGACGGCAGACTTACATTTTTTTACATTGACTGATTGAGCCCCTATTGTAAGTTGGTGGCATTTTTATACCTGTAATTTTGAATTTTAATCCGAATAACTTGCATGTAGGAATGAGTTCCAGAAACCTTAACATAAAATTGCCACAAAATTTCCGGAAAAGGATTTTCAATAATAACGTATATAATAAATGTGCTACCGGTACAAAATGGCGGAAACTACAGTATTTTGGCTCGGGGGCGACAAGAGGGGTTTGGAGTATACCTTACACGAATTGTCTTGCGTCCTGCATACCTTTCTTTTTTTAAATACAGATGAGCACTAAAAATTACTCTGAAACTGGAAATGCATTTTATTATAACTTGTTTAAGAATATATAGCTGTTACAACTCCTAAACTCTTAGTCTTCTTTCATAAAGTTTCTTCGTAAACCCCTAAAGAGCCTACAGAGAACATTCCTCCATGTGACAAATTTCCCGCCATTTTCGACGGTGCGAAAAACAGCAAAATTACACGCCAATATTTGTCAAAATTCCTCCTCCAAGCTCTGGTATACTTTCGTCAACAGCCACAGACGATATTTCGTCATAAATATTTAAAGTTTGTCGTTACACAAGCAAGGAGTTCTCTAGAATGTCCTTGTTTACTTCCACAGCGTCATCTGAATATTCTATCACAAGCAGGGTTTTTTCTAAACAGGGGAATAAGGGAGCTACTCCCTCATGTAACCAGCCAGCTCCCTCATACCAATTTTCAGATTGAACCCTAAGTGGCTACTCTTTTTAAAAAATCCCCCCTCGGTTACTTAGTTCCTTGTCATGCTTGCGACCTGCTCCCTCATGCTAAATTTTTCTAGAAAAAACCCTGACAAGTATATTTTTCTACCAATTTTACAAAGCCTTTATGCTCCAAATGCAACACATTAAACGCTAGTAATCTTACCTGAACAACGATAGCAGCTTGTTCGAGTTGTACGAGTAGGAAAGCGGCAGTCTCTCTCTTGAATGTCGCGCCGACGGAAAGAACAAGAAAGCTTCCTGAAACTGAGGTATTGCTGCAGCATATGAGTAGCAGTCCAGCCCTACGCGTCACTTCCGGTGACCTCCAGTGACCTCCGCCTCGTTCTCGACCTCTACCCTTAGCCCAATGTGAAAAAGTTAGTTGCGGCCTGATGACCCGGAAGCATTCTAAGGTCAAGGGTCAAACGGTAACTCCTGATTATCGGTTTAATGTAGCAGAACAGTTTTTGCCTTATAAGGACCCCCAAGGTTAACTTTATAGTAGGGTACACTGGAGAAACACGGCCAACTATTACAAATACACGTATGTTACGATATATGGTATAATAATGCTTTATTTGTTTTGTTCACAATGTGTATATATAGAGACCAAATTGGTTATCAACGTTATATTTGTGTGGCTCTTACATCTAGCTGGGCTCTTTTTTTTTAGCTCTGGGACTAGGTAAAGCTAATACAGTAGCTAGTACAGTAGACAAACTATGTAAACTTCGCATTAATGGTCACTTAAACTCGCCGTCTCATCTAAATGAACTAAAACAAAGACTGAAAGATAACTTTATACAAAAATTCAACTCAGAACTACAAGTAAAAGGGAGAAGAGAAAACCAAGGCAACAAACTAAGGACATACAAAACATTCAAAGAGATTTATGAAAGAGAAACATATTTAAACATTGCAAACTTCGAACATCGCAGAGCCATGTGTAAACTTCGCATTAGTGACCATCCCTTACGTATAGAATCCGGAAGGCATAGCCGTACCCCTCTGAAAGATAGAACTTGCGAATTTTGTAATCATTTATATGTTGAAAACGAGATACACTTTCTACTTGACTGTACATTATATAAAGATGAACGCCAAGAGCTATTCGATACTTTACAATTAGACAAGATATGTAAGAAAATGTCAAAGCAGGACATGTTTAAACACTTGATATCATGCAAGAACGAATGTACAGTAGACAAACTATGTAATTATGTTTCCAAATGTTTCAAAAAGAGAGAAGAAAGGGCAACTAACAGTAGATGATAGGTAGTATATAGTATTGTTGTATTGTATAGATTCTTAGCACTTTGCATTAGAATATAGCGTACCAGTATGAAATGCTCATGTTTTTGCATACTGCATACCCTCTTGTGCATTTAGCCCATCTGGGCAAGAACATGCAATAAAGATTCATTCATTAACGAATGAAACGAATGAATGAAATTGAAACCAAATGTATCGGTAGAGATACAGATACACAAGTTACATTGAAAAAATATAGGTGATTATAACATAGGAAATTAAAATATAGGAAATTATAGGTGTGTTTCGAATACTGATACTTCGTGTTAAAAAGCATTATTACAGTACGGTAGAATGCAGATTGTGCCACCAAGAGATGCACGAGAGATTCGGTTGAAAATTCTGATGAGTCAACTTTTATTATGTAACTTACCAACTCAGATAAACTTTCATGCTACTTACACTAAAATTGTTGATCTTATAGGAGCAAAGGGGGCCAAAGGAGACACCGGACTGCAAGGGTCCAAAGGACAGAAAGGCTCACAAGGGGCTTCTGGAAACAATGGATTTGGTGAATATATCATCGTATAGCTACATCATTACAGAACGGTCATTCAAAAGACATACATATAAACACATGATATCTGTGTTTAATTAAAATTCTATGGTATATTCAAATGTACAGGAGGTACTGTTTACGTACGCTGGGGCAGGAAGACATGTCCCTCGGGAGGCGCAACAATGGTCTACTCTGGTGAGCTCTTTGTTATGTTCTAACCTATCCTCCATCAGGCTTCGGGAGGCGGCTGGAAAGAGTAGAAATTTTCCAAATAGAGCGATACAAATGTAATTTGCCAGGGAGTTGGTCTGCTGGAGAGTACAGTTTGCTGCACCTGTCCAGCATTTTATCTCTCTATTTGACCAATTTCTACTCTTAACAGTTGCCTCTCAAAGCCTGGTAAAGGCTAATGTTTACCTTCGCAGACGGAAAACATTGTTTTTGCTTTTTTTCCTTCCTCTTCTCCAAACCAAGGAGGTTCTAGCGGAAAGGGCTAAAACCTCGAGCTCCTTGTCCAAACACGTAAGGTCAATGACCTGCACCAGGCGTCTGTTACCATGGTAACTAGTTGGTGCTGTAGACCAGTTGCCTTACGAAACTTTCGTACTTTTGAGTTAGTAAAGTTTGTTTATGTGATATCTGCATGTGTTTGAGTGAGAATGAACAGAACAGTGTTTATCTTCAAAGTCCATCTGTGTTGTTGGAAGTCATTATGAACCAAGTTTGAACTGCAATTTCCAACTCAGATTTTCGACTGTATAACTCTTGTCATGAAACAAGGAACGTTGTTGTTTCAAATTGTACGCAAGTAATTATTTCCTTTAGGTGTGGCAGGAGGAACACATTACCGGCAAACCGGTGGCGGAACCAACTACCAGTGTCTCCCGACCGACCCACAATGGGGGCGCTACCAGAACGGAGTCCATGGCTACAGTGCATACATGTACGGCGCTCAATATCGGATCGGCACAAACGTCCCATTCGGCTCCACATACCTCGATGCCCACGACGTCCCGTGTGCGGTCTGCTACGTCCCGGCACGCGGCAGTAAGTTAATGATCCCTGCCCGTAAGAACTGTTATAGCGACTGGACAGAGGAGTACGATGGGTATCTCATGGCAAATTCGCACGCCCTCGACAGTGCTACAGAGTATGTCTGCGTGGATGACAACCGCGAGACGGTACCAGGCGGACAAGCCGACCAGGCCTCAGCGCGGTTCTACCCCGTGGAAGCCCGCTGTGGGGCCCTGCCCTGTCCCAACTACGTGGAAGGGCGGGAGCTCACCTGTGTGGTCTGCACAAAGTGAAACTTCAAGTCAACACATAACCTTCATGCATAACCTAGCAGCTTGATCTGGAACTGCAGAGGCACTTGTTTGAAAAATCTTTGAAGGAGGATAACTCAATAACAGGTTTCGGATTATTGAGATTTTCAGACCAAGTCTATAAGTAGCTTAAGTGATACTTGACATGATAAAGTTAGATAACAACATTACTATACTTTAGAAGGAAATTCAATATATCTGCTGCATTCCATTATAGGACTACCAACTTTTGATGCATGTAATTGAGAACGAGACATTCATAAATATCGATTATGTAAATGGTGTACCAATTTGTATAATTAATGATAGAATGCTATAATTTCATAGTGGTAACTAAATTGCAGGAATATCATACTTGCTTCGTTTGGAAGCTAGGTGAAGGGGAATAACATTAAATATAACTTATCCAAATCTGTACCTTACTGCATTATTTATGAGGAAAAGCTAGAATAGCTTTCTTTATTAAAATTAAGACACATTGGGTGAAGAATATGGTCAGCTGATGTAATTTATGAAAATGAGGATATCATTCCCATTCAAGATAAAATATGTACAAATCCAAGAACAGTATTGGAAGGTATTACTAAATTATGGGGCAAGAAAGTATGCCTACTAGATTGGGAAAGTACAAAAACTCTGACTGGAAACCAATAACAGTCATTGTTACAAAGACCTTTATTGTCACAACTCTACAGAAGGAACGCAAGCTCTGATTGGTCTACTTAACAAAAAGATCTGTAAGCAAGCACCTCATTGGTTCTCATGTGATCATGATGGGTATACCTTTGCAGAACATACAAATATCAAGCAATATTTTCGACGCAGAGCTTTTGATAACACAGTGACAGTGCAATTTATCTAACGCTGAAGAATATCAATTTTTTTATGATTAATTTGCTTCATCAATTCGTGCAGAAATCCTCTTCTGTCGGCTATTGTGGCAGGGAGTCAGGAAAAAATGACTCAAATTGCACGTTTCAATTACAATCTGATGCTCATTCCGCAAAATCAGTACAAAAATTATATACGTAAAACTACATAACAAGGAAAAAACCATACAGAAATCCAATAAGCACATACACTCTCCAGTATACGTTACCTAATGTATACTCTATTTAGAGAGTTATACATGATAATAGTATGGAATGCTTCAATATATGGTAACCAGCGTATATCAATGAAAAGCTACATAATCAAAATCTTTCTACAAAGAGACTTATAACCCTAGAAGTTTATTCTAGTGGCTCAATATCAAAGTAAAGGCTTTTAGATAATTAATTTCTATCTTTAAGAAGTACAATATCATAGTATCATCCATTTGAATATCTTTCTAATCTTTAAGTGCTAAGCGTGAATAGCTTACAGCGTTTCTTAAGTCTTAAGTAGCTAATGGCGAAAACTGCATTTGAGAAATTTGTGGATTACTTTGATGCAGTCAGCTGGAATGATGTATTGCATAATCTTCTCTTCTGAACTACCTGTCAATCAATTATGATCATTTATGTATGACACACTCTGATTGGTTAATAAATCTCTTGTGTTCCCTCCTACCATTGGTCAGCATGATGCTATAGAACTCACCATCTCTTTTTGCATGCCTACTTGTGGTGCGATTCTTGTGAACAATTTTGACACCATGCCCCTCAAAAGCTGGCAAAATTACACAAAAGAAGTAAAAATGCTGCATGCAAACAAAATTATTGCTTCCATGAATATCTATATCAACTTCCATGCATTTTTCTAACACTATATATGTCAAGTTGTACCTAGTACAGCTACCGAAAAAGCCAGTATCAATGTTATCATTTCAGAATGGTCCATTGGGCTAAAATGAGTTTGTGTACACAGCAAGCCTCTATAATTATTGCATTGATGTTCATCAGTTTTTCCTACATGTTTAGTTGGAATGACATCTGTTGGAAAGCCATATACTAATAAGTTGCCATTTATTAAGTTCATTTCTCTTTAAAGATGGATACATACAAAATCACCCTCTTACAAAAACTTAGTCCATAATTCTTAAATTTCTGCTCGGTGTATACAATACATGTGTACACACAGGTTTTACCTATCTCTGTTATAAGTAAGGCATCGGCAATACATGGTTTATCAGCAATCCAGGGGACACAACATTCAAACTTTCAACACTTTTTTTTGCATTATGTAGGATCTTTTACATGGTCCAAAATCCAAATAGACTTTCTCCATCCTATGTCTGCCACCAAATTCCATATGTTATCATTGACAATTTCAAGAAGCTAGTTCACAGTGTGATATATTATGGGTAATATGTCAAGACAGTCAAATTCTTTAGGTATTACCCACATCACAAATATGCGATGCACACTTTACACAGTGTACTAACTTATTCCTAGGCTGTATCTTCTTTTTTCGAGATAAATTTTTATTTTGTGTGCTTTCAAAATCAAACGTTATTTTAGGTATTACATTTAAGTAAGGTCGGCAAAAATAAACAACCTGACCACCCCTGCAGTGCTGGTTCCCATGGTTTCACCCGGTTGGTTACGGTGCATAGCTACGGCGCCAGCTGGCTGGCTTCTTTAAGTTCTTTCTCTCGTCTAGAAAAGTTTCTTCTCCTTTTTCAGGCCTGTTCTCTTCCAGCCGGCCAGACTGTTGAACTTGTCTCGGGACATGCCGAAAATACTCTCAAAGTCTTCATCTGACAAGTACAGCTGTGGGGAGGGTAGAAATATATTAGTGCAAACCATCTACACACAAACATCTTCAACCTACCCTGTGACCCAATATACCTCACATACAACAGGTCCTCATACCTCCATGAGTTTTTGTGAATTTCTTGTAATAATTTATTCGTTGATGTGAATTTGTACCCTCACTGGTTCTGTCTAAATATATATTGATGCATTTTAAGGCGACATATAGCAGAAAACTGAAGACAGGAAATGAGATAACCTTTACCAGAACCTTTCTGGAACCTTTGACCTAACTTCTGTCAGTGTCCCATATGTGCCTAGCAGGTGAAAGTGAAAATAATTACAGAAACACTTTGTACATGGATGCCGAAGTTAGCCCGTGTACCATCTTGATTAAGTCTACCCTACCCATAACTAACCAGGATGGTACCCAGGCTACTCCAAGGTAAAAAATATAATTTATCAACTTATAAAAAGAACTCACTTCCTTCTTCGTTGGGTCGACGCCTTCAGGAATCTCCTCTCCAATCAGCTCTTCGTAGGAGAAGGTCTGTCCCGGCACGAAGTTTCCATTCAAGTTCATCTGCCCAACATCCTGGAGAAACACACAGTCCCAAAACCCTCAAGTCTTCCATTTCAAAATCTTTTTTTTCAACCCTGTCAGATTAAGAAGTATCTTCCCTGAAATTATCAGTGAAAAACTTATAATAATTTTTTAGAAAAACATTGTACATTGTACCAAGTTACATTGTATGTTCCATATTTTTGGTCAGCTTTGTAGATTCTGAAGTTAACCCTTGCACTGCTGCATAACCCCCACACCATTACAAGTTTGGTGTTAATTTCATGGTTACCTTAGCAATCTGAAGGTTAACAGTAATGCATATTTAACAACATGTAGTAACTTGTACCTGGAAGTTGGTATATCTATAAATCACTGCCATAAAATCTTACCTCTACTGTCTGTGCAGACTTCTGCAGATATGCGCATTGAAGTATTTTTTTTAGATTGTAACACATTGAAAGACTACAATTACTGCAGAATCACACGAGAAACAGATCACAAAGAAGAAATTAAGGTAGAATTGGATTGATAGGAGGGTGCTGAGAAAAAAGCAGTAACCTTAATTGTGGTGACTCAGTTTAGGGTGAACTTTAAATTTTATGAAAAATGAGCTAGGATAATTGGTGATTGTATTGGTGATTGTATTGGTCAGTACCTACCTGGTTAAGACAAGGTAGAAATGGCTTCTTAGATTCAATGACAAGTGTAGGAATTATAAGGTTTTGTGTCTTTAACTTAGATGCACTTATTATAATAATAAAATCCTGTACCTAAAAAAACCCCAAGCAATTGAATCAGTCCCAGTAAGAGTTAACAATTAAGCTGGTTCACAATTCGAGAACATAAAAGAGGTCAAAAGGTAAGGCCCCAAACTTGTAAACAGTTCTTGATACCATCTTCTGACATGTTTTGTTTATTTCTCAGTGTGTATAGAAAAAGAGATGGGTACCATCCCAGTATAAACTGAAAGTTTAGCGACACTGAAGAAGAGTGACGGATGTTGGTTGAAACGTAATGTCTGTACTTCATCCGGTAATAGAGCTTTTTTAATTGAATTGTTTTGGAATATTCTTAACCTGGATGTTTAACCTTTATCAACATATATACTGAAGGTGTGGAAGGATTCTAACTTGATAAAGTATCGTAAAAAAAGAAGCGACTGGTTTGGATGACTTTCCGCAGCGCAGCAGACAGGGTGAAACAAAGACAGACCTACAACACGAACGTTCCTAACAGGAGCAACACGTTAGTTTGAAAAGGAAAACGACGGTTACAACGACTTCTGCCGTGAGGGTGAGGAGAAACGTCTGTTCAGTTGTTCATACCCTCACTGGTTCTCCTGCCCCTGCGCTGAAGCCTTTCTTTGGAGACTTTCCGTCAATCGATGATTTTGCCATACTCTGTGTGATCAGCTGAACAGGAAACGTGCAACAAGGTGAACCCAAGGTCGGAATTCTAAAACTACAGAAAGACCTAGGACCAATCCACTTAACCTAGCTACAGCTAACATCAGCTACATGTAGATGAGTATCTTGAACAAGTCTAAAAAGGAACGCTGCAATGATTAAAAGGATTTTTGGAAAGAGTTAGTCAGGTAAAATGACTTCACATTTAACTTTGACTGTGGTCACATTTGTCATTGGGCGTCGTACAAATTTGATGTCGTAGCATTTTCAAGCAGGGTGTGACAAAAGCAACAGCTGAAAAGGATATAAAGCTACCTTTTGGTAAGAAGGCAGCTGGATTTTGTATCACACATGCCTGACTTCTTCAGGAATGCCCTCATGATCAATTTACAATCGTACGACAATCGTTTGCGATCATCTGACAAATGTGGCCACGCCCTAGAGGAGGGTATAGTGTATATACTACAGGTAGAAGTTCTGTATCTTCAGTAAAACTTACAGTGGTCACGTCAACAACAGCACTGGCATCTCCAAATTCTGCCTTCAGTTGGTCGTAGCTCTTCCCTTCCTGTAAACAAACAAGAGAGATTTATTTACTCATTTCGGCTGAAGATACAACCTACAAAATACAGCTGCAGTTTATATAAAATATTCTGTCATAAAGAAATAGACAATGTGGTTACGTGTAGGGCTCAAAACCAAAGAGACAGTTTGTGGTAATATCATACACATGTACTGAATTCTCTATGACAAAAAAAATCTTTGTTTAATATATACATAATACGTACACTCCACTTGAAGGGGTCCCAAGCCATGAACCAGCCAGTAAAGGTCGGGGGTTCGAATCCCATTTTGACTTTGATGATGGGAGTGTCGGGGTCTCTGCCGCTGGGGTCTGTGTCCAGGTACTCCTGTTAAATGAAACACAACTATTATTACATTTATGGAGGCTACTCAACCAGAAATATAATACTTGTAAAGGTTGGTTTAATCTTTACACTGGAATAAAACTGTCTGGTGTTTGGACCACTATCCAGCAGCCGTGATAAGAAAGGGAGGTTTATGTTCAGATAATCCATACCCATAAACTCATGATCAGCCACTCAAAACAATACTTCTGTCCTGAAAGTGATTCCATGAAATCTTCCTGACCTTGGTGATGCGTAGGGACTCCTGTTTCTCGGTGACGTTAGCGTCGGCGCCGATCCAGACAAACACCTGGTCCCAGGTGTCCAGGATCATCACGTCGTCCTCCTCAAGGTCATCCTGCGTGAAGTCGCTGATCTCGTCCACCACCACACGGCCAGTCGCGTTCGACACCAGGAACAGCCGCGCTGGGTTGTCCTGGTCCTCCTCCTGGCAACACAAACATCACAGATCTGTTTTTATCACAGCATCACAAGGAGTTGGAGACTCCAAGTTGGAGTGTTCCCTGTTTTGTGAGCGAACTGTTTTTACCTCCATGTTAGTGTTCTAGTCGCGTCTGTATTTTCATCATTTTCATCATTTGACAAAATTTTGCTGCTCGTGAGGGACAAATATTTGATGGAAAAAATTGTTTCCTTTGTTAATTTCTTGGGATCTCTTATGATTTTGTAGTGCAAACATTCTGATTACAAGTGAACAAGTCAAATATAGAATAATAAGATAAACCATGGGGGCCTTGTCTGAGTGACTCACCTGCAGACGTGGGGCAGAGGCATAGGGGGCCTTGCCTCCAATGGCATTCCAGAAGTCTGGCTTCTCCTGACCTTCAATCACGATCTCAGGGTCGCGTTTGGAGATCAGACGAGACACCGTCTTTGCCATCTCTCTTTCATCTCCGCTAGCGCCCTGTTGACAGACAATACATTATTTACTTACTGGTATTTATTTGGATTCACCACAAGTACAAAATATATACAAGTAGAAGGGAGTGCAAAACAGGCGTATAACTGTACCTTTGCAAGTTGCCCTCCCAGATATGATACAATACACATACATATTAAACATGGTTAAGTTTGTGGTTTCGTTATCTGTGTACAAAATGCAAACTAAGCTATGCTTCATGAGAGCCATCTATTGAGATTTTTCATAGCTGCAGCCACAACAGATTGTAATGATACAGAAAGGTTACCTTAGCAGGCTGGAGGTTAATATGTACTGAAGTTTGCCTACCTTGCCGTACCACAGGTGTACGTTACTGGGCGACTGGAGAACAAACACGTCGTTGGAGTTGAGGGAGGCGGCTCTCGCTGGCACCTGTATCAGGTAAGGTCAGAACTTTAGCAGCTGTTTTTCAATTAAAATTTAAAGGCATCCAATGCAAGTTAAGGGTGGCAAAATAAAAAAATATTGTGGATCTGTCTGATACTAATATTTACTGCCATTTATTAGCACATTTTCGTCATCATTTCATACTTGAAGCATTTGAAAAAGCCAAAAAGCAAGCTATGTGTGGAATCCCTTTATTTTTTGGTATCACCAATAAATACCTAGAACAAGCCAACGAGAGTCAAAACAAGACACCATTGTAATAGGTATTTGTTCTGGATATAAACAGAGTGCACATTTTTGGAGAAAAAGAAGAGTTTAGAAATGTGTTCTCTAAACATGAAAACATGAAAGAGAAGTCTTAGGCCAGCAAAAATCTACATTGTACTGTTAGTATAATTCTCCAGCTCATGAACAAATGTTAGTAAAAACATCCATCTAGCTTCTCTAGTAGAAGCACATACATGTACATATATTCTGCATGTTAGTAGACAATACATAACATACAGTCTAGGTGTGAAAAGAACTGTAAGTCAAGAGGTATTTTTGGCACACCGGACAATGATACTTACCACCTGCAGATGTCCAAGTATGTTAGAATAATGACAACAACAAACCTTGTCAAATAAACTAGTTTAAACTGTATTTTATAAGCTTAGGGGTATCTTTAACAAAGTATTGGAGTTACTTGTCATAATTATTACTTTGTCAGTAAAAACAGTACTTGTCTGTAGTTGCCATTATAGTTCTATTTGATAGTGTTGTCCTATATACTTCAGTTTGAATAAGCCAGTGCACAAGAAAAAATTCTTAGCATATTGTTATTACTATAATTGTTTTTGTCAGAATTATACTCCAATCACTACCAAGGCTCCACAGACTCATCCATATGGATAATATTAGTCTGACTCGGAACATCTTACAACTGATGCAACATTGCAGGGCTTTAGCCAGCGCCCGTTTTACCGTCAATTGACGGTAATTTGTCCCATCTGACGGTAAAAATTTTAGTCCTTACCGTCAACATTGACGGTCAAAAATCGTGGGTAAAGACATGGAAAAAATCTAGCGAATTTGAATGAGCCACGGCGCGGCGTCTTTTCCAAACGCACGGCGGCGGGAAACCTGATTTCAAGGACCGTGCCGACGTCTGTTGACTTGGCTCTATTGTTCAATGTTGCTGTCTGTTAAAACAACATGTGCTAACGGCCACATAAGAATAAAATAAAACAATGGCTTGACTCAGACACACGCTGCTAACTGTACATGACAATACGATAAATAAACATGTGACAACGAACAAAGAAATATCAAACGTTTTTGAATAATATACTGTACTTGAATAATCATACTATCGCAAGAAAACGGAGATTGATCCACACAATGTGGCCTTATTTAATCTAAAACTTCGTCAGACCTCCTTCGCGCGAAGACTTGAGCGGCAGCATAAAGATTTCTGGAGGATCGCTGACACGCGAGTTTTTGCCGGCCACGTAACTCCCTCCGCGGCAAAATACCCTATGCCGTAGCGAAATCACGTCTCAGCGCTTCCCCAAGTCAACTTCATGGCCGCTAAAGTCCGCAAAGGAGCTGTAACTTCCTCATTTCGGTTGAGAAGCGAAGCTGACAAGTAAAATCATGTACATGTCGGCCATTTTGTTTGCTACCCGAAGTCTTCCGAACGCTCTAAATAAGGAAATCGTCGGAGATCTGAGCCACATTGCCCGCTGTCGGTCAGCGCTCGGGGCCGGCTCGGTGGAAATCGGAGGCTGTGACGTCATGAGTAGGTTCATTTGCATGGCCGCGGCTTGAATCGCGGCGGGATTTGAGCGGATCAAAACAAAGGGCATACTAGTAGCGGATTGTTCATTGCGTGTTGTCTCCTTGTGAGAACTGTAGTTTTTTTTTTCATTCTGCAAAATTGCAGATTGTGTAGTTTTTTTTTTTTATTCTGCAATCTTGACGGGTATTTAGAACACCGAATGTATTAAGTGTGCGGGAGGGCGTGATGTCGATCACCGGATCGTGAAAGACATTCTTTAAAAGTAATCATTGACGGAATTTTTTTTTCGCGTTGACGGTATTTTTTTTTTTTCGCGAATTGGGTTGACCTGGGGTTGACGGTAAAAAATTTCGAGCTGGCTAAAGCCCTGCAACATTGAGAAAAATATTTAAATAACAGACCTTATAACTAGGCTTATTAATCATAATAATGAGTAATAGGATGTTTTATAATATAATTTTTGACAGCCTACATACAATATTGTATCAGGCCCTAGTCAGCGAAATTCATTTTTAAAATCAAGTCTGTGAGTTACTATCTAATACAATACAACCCAAGGCCCTCTAGACCTGCATGCCTGCTTGCCTGATGAATCTTACCTCGATAGCTTTAGTGTTGGACTCGTCTGTGCCCCTGACCTGGAACAGTCTGGTGTCAGCTGCCTCCGACTGGCCGCCCTCCCTGGAGGTACCACCCTGACAGACAGGAAGATAAATTGACAGTTATTTCAAACTTCAGGAGACCATAATATCTGTGAAATGCACAAACATTACAAATTTTTTTTTTGTTCTTCATCTGTGAAGTTTGTCGAGCAACCTGTCAAATGTTTGGTTGCTCAGTAGAAATGGAGTGTTATGTAAAGCCCCTGTCACACATTCAGAACCTTCTCCCAACCAAAGTTGGCTGAAGTTTGGGAGCAGGCTGACTAGATTTAGGTCAGATCTCTCAACACGCCCTGACCTACTCCGAAACACCAGAAAACCATCGCTGAACCTCCCGTCTATACCATAAAGTTTAGACATTTGGCTTGCGCAGCCAAAAAGTAGCTAACCTCGCCAGTCTCCAGTCAACCACAGCCGACCTTGCTTCTGACCTACTCCTAACCATGGCTGGGGGGAGTTTGCCAGTGTTCAGGAGGCTATATTCAGCTATACCTGACAGGGGAACCATAAGATGTTCCTTACCTCGTAGATGATGAGTTTGCCCTTGAAGATGGCGAGGAAGTGGTTGGGTTCCTTGCCCATGGTGACACGGACCTGTACAGGAGCACCGCTGTACTGGTCGTCCAGCTCAACAGCCTTCAGCGCAGACGTACCCAGCTCATCTATCGAGGCATGGCGACCCTGGAGTGGTAAACATGTTAGTACATCATTAACAACGTGTGTGGGCATCCAATGCAGTTTCAGAGCGGCAATAGTTAAAATATTCTATGTGAGGATATCTGTCTGATACTGACATTTTACTGCCATTTCTTAGCACATTTTCGTCATCATTTCATACTTGTTCAAGCATTTGAAATAGCCCCAAAATAAGCAGTTATACTGGCTATACAGTTACAGATGCAGAAGCTGGTGTGTTACGCAAAAGGGTGGTTATATTGACTATACTTATTGCACAGAAGCTGGTGTGTTTCGTCAAAGGGCAGATATACCAGCTATCAGATACAGAATCTATTTGGTGTGTAACACCAAAATGACTGTTATACCAGCCATATACAGATGCAGATACAGAAGCCATGCCCACCTGCCAATAGTAGATGATGTAGGCGTCCCTGTTGCGGACTTGGTAGGTATACAGGACGATGTAACAGTCGCCGCCATAGAACTGTCCGTACGTGCTGGACTTCACCTCCACCATCTCTGGCCCTTCAATACGCCACACCTGCACAGACAAGATGGAGAACAAGGTAGTTAACGATGGTAAACACATCTTACTGCTGTCAATCAAAATGACTGGAGTTCATTACCTCAGTGTATGGAGGTTTTGTTGTTGTTGTGTGTCTGCTGTTTGTGTGTTTGCTTGAATTCACATGGTTATTTCAAAGATATGATTCAAGCTAGTCACATGAGGCACACTGACAGGAAGTTAGGTCAAAGGTCCTAGAAAAGGTTATCTCATTTCCTGTCTTAAATTTGCTATATGTATGTCTGTTGATGTCTCATGGGAGCCAGCTGGAAAAGGAATTATACTTTTTTTGGGAGAATTAGCCAAATATTTACAATAACAAATAAAACAAGAAATTCAAAAATATTTCAAAGAGGAATGACATCTTCAACTTCTTTTTTGGAGAGTACATTCTCACCTGGACTTTGCCAGTTCCGTCGTCGACCATCCTCTGCTGAGCTGCCTGTTCAGGGTGAGCGTGGAGCGTCGCTGCGTCAAACGACACATTCTCCACTTTCGCTGCATGGGCAAACACAGCACAGTGTAATCTCCACAATAAAGCAACACGCAATTGTATACATGGCATAATGCATATAAAAGGTACAATGATCATACAACAATGCCCCTCTTGTATTTTCTGAAACAGATTTGTTGGTACGTCAATGAAGGTTAGACATCCAAGCAATGAGATACACAAGAAAAATGCTACTCAAGCAACAGTTACTGGATATATTTTTGAAAACTGTCACACGTTTCAAGTAGCATTATGGAACTTAATTGAAAAGTCTGACGGTTTAAAAAAAAATTTATCCAGCTGCTTGAGTAACAGTTTTGGGTAGATTTGTACATTTTTTAAACAATAAATGATAGCTTAATGTATCTAAAGAAAAGAGGGAGCATTGTTATATATTTGACAGAATTATATACTACGGCCTAAACTAAATACACACCTATATACATGGTAACTTATCATAATGTAAGGTATACCACAACATAGCTAGAAACAACTGAGTTGGAATTGGCAGGAACATGCTATTTGCATCTACTAGAAACAAACAAACAAGACAAACAAGACAACAAGTCATGCAACATGCCTATAAGACATTCACTATTGTTGGTGCAACAGTGCCTATGTTATGAGATAAATACAAAAATACACAAATTTAATATTGACTTTGGTGGCAAAAAATATGTTAATAACAGCACATCTGAAATTGTGTTAATAAAGTGAAATTATGACAAGAATAAATATAATGTAGCACAAAGTTTTGCACCGAGACAATCCCATACATATTCCAGACTTCGGCACCTAAAAAATAAAATTCCCATGCTCTGAAGTTTTACACAATGCTAAAACAAAACACCCTGCCAGTGATCTAAAACACTTGAAGTCTGAAGTCTGTATGATATTGTCTAAGATAAACTAATATTTGCCATGCTAGTTATTGTGCATCGTCTACAACATTTTCAGCCCTGAAAAAAAAAGGAAATGCAAAACTAGATAACTGTAAGAGTGACAACTGTAAATTTTAAAACTCTACATGTAGGGGCAATAGTTATTTTGCAGCCAGCCTAACATGACTGAAAGTCTAGACTACTCATGGTCTAATTGACTCTAAAGTAACTAACATTACTACTGGCAGCACTTTATACAGCAATCACAGCACAGAAATGATGGCAAAGGAACATACATTTATTTCTGAAAAAATGTATCATTTCCAAGGACATCAAAAAGAAATGTAACAATTTCAGAAATATTTTTTTTCATTCAATCAGAATAGAGGGGAACCAAATAATCTTAAAACATTTTCATCTTGAAAAGACTTAGTATTGCTGTCAGTAAATTCTACTTTATTGTGCTACCACAGCCTCTTCTACTTATAGAGCAAAAACGACACATACACACACACAGCTAGTACCAGACATTCCCAAGAATAACATACACCAAAGCCCATAATGTTGGTGTTGCCAAAAAAAGGGTTGGCATCATGACAACGGTAAGATGACAGTTCCAGACTACTTTGAAATGTATTCACTCGCTGGAGGCCATAAGGGGTGCAATTTTGATACATTCTGCTAGAGGGGGCTTCTACCCTGGGAATGCCCTGTCCTAGCAGCCACTATACTAGTACTATGTACACATACACATACAGCGGAGGACGGCTAACAGTAACTACAGGACTCAGGGATTAGTGCTGGAGGTGCGATAATGTGGAGAAGGGTCGGACCTTGCGTGTGCCAGGCCCACGCTCTACCGGTCGAAGCCATGACGGGACTGGACGCGTACGTATAGTCACCTGTTAGCAGCACGCTGCCCGTTAGGTACAACATTCAATCATCATGGTTGACGGGAAAAGATAAGGCTACGCTACCGTTACAAAATCAATGCAAAATCAAGGGTAGTTTGGTTGACAAGTTGGCTCCTGTTTTCTATTATTATCACAACTAAATGACCTGAAATTTGGATCATGGATGCCTTGGACACATGCCCACAGAACTTCACTCACACTTTTGGCATACACGCCACTTTGATACTGTTTAAAATCATCTTTTTTTGCTATTCTCTGACAAAAGATGTACATTTTTGGCTCTTGCGCCCTAATATTACAACAGACTGAAAGGCCTAAAAATTTGAGAATTATCACAACACAACTCTCAAGCATGCTTAAAGTTAAAGCTAGAATTCCAAGCAGTGGAAGATGGTTTATTTTGAAACCTGCTGCCCCCTTCAACGATATCTGGGTTACATCTAAGAACTTAAAATGGAAGACTAGCTTTGGAATAAGCGGCCCTGTGATTCAGAGGCTGGATTGTTAACTATTACACCGCTACAATAAAATAGTATTGATAACATGTATGGAAGACAGTTCAGAATTAAAACTGATCTGCACATCAAGTTTCTGTTTTGACTTTTGGTATCATTGCTAGCTTGAATCACATCTTAGAAATCAAACCAAACTACCCCAAAATAGATGAAATCATACAATAAAGGAATGAAATCTAGTGTCTAAGATGAATTATAAAGAAACATGGATGCATCTTAATGCATGGTTGGTGGAAGCATATGCATGGTTAATGTTATTGTGGTAAATGGCATTCAAGAACAATCCAGAACATACATGCACAGCCTTCATGAAATCACTCATCATCAAATACCAATTGTTTTAACAAACTGGCCAACAAAGTTGCATAGTTCTCCTTTTCTTTATGTGTCATATAGTATGTATGAAATACTATACATATTTGTCTATATGCTAAATATGTTAAAGTATATGTTAAAGACGCATCAATGAAATACTGGTTTGCTAGCAAATATAGCAGCAGTACACAGCACACATAACAGATACAACAGCTTGCAACACTGACACATGGTTGAGTTGAAGAATATGCCATTATTATGAATTATGAAACATCATTGCCACAAATTACTATCAATCTGTGTATTTATCATATCAGTTATTGAATCCTAATTCATGCAAAATGACACAAAGATGAATATAAAAAAAGTGAAAAATTGTCAATATCATAATTATCTGAACATCAGTCAAATAACTGAAACAAATTGAAAATATATAGTATTAAATATAAAAAATTAAAAACAAATCTATCCTACCTATCCTTCCCATGGAGTGGCTCTTTCCCATGCCCACAGTTTGACCTTTGACCTTCCAGCTCTGGAACATCTGCTTGAAGAGCGAGCTTTCCGCGTTCTCGTTCACCGTCTCGATGCAGGTGTGGTTAGGGTAGCCCTTCGCCTTGATGAAACCCTGCGGACAGAAAATAAAACATATTGTAAGAGATAATCTTCATTGTCATCATTACACTGTACATCATCTTTACAGCATCATCACCATCATCACATTATCATCACCATCATCTTTGCAGCATCATCATTGATCACATCATCACATTATCAAATCATCACCATCTTCACACCATCATCACATCATCTTTACAGCATCATCTCTGTCATTACACAATCATCAGTTATAGCATCATCACATCATCACCATCTTCATCTTCACACAATCATCACATCATCTCATTATCATCACCATCATCACATCTTTATAGCATTATCAGTTATCATACCATCATTATCATGACATTACCATCATTATCATAACATCATCATCACCATCATCATCACCATCATTACTGTCATGCCATCATCTACATGAAATTGTGACAAGTAAACCGTGACTGACCAGAGCATTACTCATGGCAGCAGCCTTCTCCGTTCGCGTGGCTCCCTTCCCCTTCCACACAAAGATTCGCTGTCCTGCCTGGTCCAGGATGTAGCAGTCCTGATGGAGAAAACAACACGCAATCTTTCAGACATGCCAACCAGAGAGCAACACAAAACAAGAAACAATCACAACTAGTGTTAGTAACCAAGTCATCCTGACCTCAAACAATGGTTTCTTTATTTGTTTCAACTTTATTACATACATGTAAAACGCCAAGGGAAAACAAGAGTATCCTTTTAAACTCCCTGACCTTTTTTGTTGTGAAAGTTTAGCAAATTTAGCAATTAAAGTTAGCAAGTATGTGAAGTCAATGGAGGCCATTTTGCCAAATACTGATGTGTTGTTATTGTTCAAATAAAGAGAATATAAGAAAAAACTGTAGGAAGTAATTATTAATAAGAAGCAGACAGGAAAAGAAGATGACAGGAATATTTAGGTGTGTTAGTTTTCCATCTTCAATCAGCAAAAACTTTTCAGACCTCCGGGAAGTATCTAGTACTGTGGAGGGGATTGTATACACACAGTAAACCTTTTTCTGAATTCCTCCAGGTACAAACACACCCAAAACAATACTTCCAGGTAATTTGAAGATGTCAACTTAAACGTCACTGAAAATTAATTGCAGACTTGAACTCAGAAAAAGCACAGTTTGTTTGCAACAATTTTTAACAAACAAACAAAACCCACAGACACCAAAAACAATACTTCTGAGTACTCAGAATAATGTGAGCCTCTTAGAAGTTAGCTTGTAAAACGACAGTTTCTTTGCAAACTACTGACCTGAGAGTTGAGCATGTCTTGAGAGAGGGGCGGGGTGGCCACCTCGGAGACCACCAGATGTGCGTATGTGTCAGACAGGCTGAAGCGACAGAACGAGGGAAGGGCAGAGAGAGGAGCAGACAGTAAGAAAGATACAGCAGCAGAAAGTAAACAACCCAGCCAAAACCTGCCTGCGGATGCCATGCTCTCCTCAAAAATATAATTTGGACATTTTTTTAGCAAAACCATAATGCAAAATATGTTTATGAATAAAGCAAGGAGAGTTACAGACGTTTTGATCACTATCCAACAATTCTTCATCAGTGAAAAGGAAATATTGGAACTGGAGGAATTCAGGAAGCAGTTGACTGTGTGTTATACCTGATTGAATTACATCATACAATCCCCTCCACAGTACCAATGTATACAATGTACCTTTCTTTCTTTTCACTGATGAAAATTGCTGGATAGTGATCGAAAGATCTGTAACACTGCTTTATTCCAGTGCAAATGTTCTAAAGAACACTTTCAAATCTTAAAATAAAAACGAAAAAAATCTGACAATGTGGATTGTTTCAGTCTTTTCCGCGAGACATCAGCAAGCAGCTTTTCCTTTCTTATGAACGAAATTTTGCACATTGTTACCTCGGTTTTCAGAAGATCCTGGGTCAACGGACGATTGGCCACTTCTGACATGACCAGCTGACCACTAGCGTCAGACACACTGGAAGAGAAGACGGGAGAGAGGGGGGTGATGTGGGGTGGGGTACGGGAGTAGGGGGGTACGGGGAACAAATTGAGGGTTACGGCTCAGGTAGGGCATCTAGGCTCTTCTATCTCCCTCTCCCTCTAGGCCAGTTCACAGTTGACCAATTAAGATTCAGGAAGCAGAAATTGGGTGACCAATCAAAATTCAGGAAACAGAAATTGGGTCACCAATCAAAATTCAGGTAACAGAAATTGGGTCACCAATCAAAATTCAGGTAACAGAAATTAGGTCACCAATTAAAATTCAGCAAACAGAAATTGGGTCACCAATCAAAATTCAGGAAACAGAAATTAGATGACGAGTTGCATCTGTGCAGTTCTAACTGTGAACCAGCTTGTAACATGATCAGTAATATTTTTAGTCATTTTCAACAAAACTGGGCATTAAGAATTATTTAAACAAAAGATACCACAACAGACACCAAAGTACTATCTATGGCTCATGCTGAGATGCATTTACTAAGCAGCATGAAAGATGGGTAAAAACTACATACAGGGTCGTCTTAGACAAGTTTGACTAATAATATGCTTTTGTTCTGTGGAAATATGCTTCTTCCTGTTACTTCTTATAGTTTAAGCAACAAGCAACCAAACTGGCTTCATTCCCACTTTTTGGTTTTATCTAAAACCGTACCTTAGACAACTTTTCGAAAAAAGTTAGAAATACCGCATTGTAGAAAGAAGCCCAGAACTGTACTGCCACCATGCCTAACAACCACTCTCACTTACTGTACTCTGAAGTAATGGCCAAGGATGAAAGGAAAATATAATTTGGTTATTAATAAACAATAGAACTTAATGAAATGAAATAAAATGCATACAGTTGAATTCTACATAATGTGGAAAACTTTGAAAAAGTTTGTACTGAACTGAAAACTTTTCCATTAAAACCTGAACCCTCTAGATCTGTCTCTTTCTCCTTGACAGCAATTTGCTCATGATATACCGGTACCATAATTCTGGAGAACCAGTTTCAGTAAAGCTTTCAAGTCTTCTTCGAAAGGAATTTCATTAGTCGTAAGTACATCTTTTGACTTGATTCCTCTTTTTAGGTCTGGTGAAACTGCACTTCTCCATTTAAGCACACTGTAAGCTAACTATACCTGAGACCACTTGAATAGATATAAAGGAAAGGAGACCACGTTTTGGGTTGTTAAGTACTCTTCAGTTCCATTAGGTGACATTCTCTTTCTGCTATCATCAATATAATATGTCAGAAGATAGACATCAATTTCTTGCTGTAGCATCTTGTACTTATCATCTAATACTGTACCTTTTTGAATTTTGAATATCTCTTTATGATATTACATTGTCATGAAAAAAGTAGCATGGTGACATATTTAATATTATAAACAACATTTTTCATAGACTTGGGTGACACAGAATACATTAATGATTTCTAATAATATGAAAATAACAACCTGCTAGAATTTTAACCTTCTCCATGCTGTCTAACCCAGCAACCAATAGAACTTTGGCTCCAAAAGGCTACCTCAGCATGGAAAGGGTTAGAGAGTGGAATAAGAAGATAACTTACTGGTAAAGCTTGGTGTTCTGCTGGTCCTCGCGAGCCACTTTGACGTCGTTGTCGGGAATCGGGTCGGCGAGTTTGGAGGGTTTCTCGCCCGAGAACCTTCTCCATGGCGGGCGGCGTGGGGTCACCGGGGTCAACCACGGCCACCTTGGCCCGTCCTCCGCGCTCGCTGTCACGCACGCTGGTCGCAAACATGATGGACTAGACACGGGAAGAAAGCGATCTTCATACATGGAAACCAACGGTTTTTGTTATGTTTTATAATGTGCCTTTACCTAAAGCAAGCACATCTAGACCTGCTTCAAAATCAATGCTTTCATCAATTAACCGTTCAGCCACTAATTCAAAGCAGTTTATTGCATTTTTTAAAAATATTTGATGATTAAAAGGAAATACTAAATCTTGATGAAATGGAAAGAAGCATTTGAAATTGGAGAATTTTTCTTCGTATAGGCAGCTAGTTAGCTACTTGAAGTGCAATATGCTGTGCAAAGCAGTAATCTGACCCATGAAATCCACAATTAGCACTTGGCTATTGCTGTTTAGTGTGTTGTTGTAAGCTTCGGTATGGTGCATTATCGCCACCTAGCAGTGCATTGAAGAAGTGCAGTCCAAGTTGTTCTACTGTGCTGTGGTCAGTCTTAGTCCAAGAAATGATTTTGGAGACCGCAAAATTTCACGGTTAAGTGGCAGCATTTGTGACAGTATTTTTCCTTTGATACAGTTTTATTATTTAAATATATTCATAAACTTTTCTTGGGCTCAGACTGACAATCTAAAAGTGGGAAAATTGTTTACTAAAATGGGGAGAAACAGTAGTTTACCTGTTTAAGTGTTGGGTTGTGGGGAATTGAGTGGAGTATCGCAATGTTATAACAGATTTGTGTGGTAAAAGGTTTGTTAGCAGACAGGTAAGTGAAAACTTAAAATTACATTCAAATCTGTGTAAAATCTATTCGAAAAACGTCACATCAGCAAGTTAAAGTTTAGACAACACATAAAAACAGCAACAAAGTGAATCAAGTCACGGACAACACATTACGTAAAAGAACAAAGTTAAGTGAATAAAATAAATAAATAAAAGGTACATTAGGTCACAGACAAATCCTTTGGAAAAACGTGTTAGTACAGACAAACAAACAAACACACACACAACAGTGCACATACCGTTGCTTCAAAGGTGAACATAGAGAAATAAAAGGAAACCTACCGGAGACACCGTTTGTTCAGAAAAAAATCCACTAGTAACTATAACGAGAGTCTCGCGATAAAACGTGAGGCAATACCACTAAAGCAAAGATCAAAAGGAAACTAAACTGTCTTGAAGTAGTAGAGACTCAGCCTAAAGACTCTTTTCAATGAGGTGGACATCTAAAAAATCTTGAATTAATGAGAAAGAAAGAATCAAGGTTGAAGAACTCAACAACACTTTTGAAACATAGGACGAAGAAGAAAAAAATGGAGGAAAAGAAAAATACTTGTTTTGAAGGTTGTTTTGTTCAGTTGTTTGACACTTTTGTAGCATTGGATAGCAAAACAGTACTGAGAAAAACACAGACATGTACAAAGCACATTTCTGCTCAGCCATCTTCTGTGGGAGCAATTTTTTGCCAGCAGAGCCAATAAGCATGACACAATGCAAGAAATTAGAATGCAAGAAAATTCTGTCAAGACAATTCATAGACATGTTTGCTGTCTAATTTGTATGTTTGCTCATCATATAATGTAATATCAGATCTTCCCATGTAAAAATTACCTTTGCTGATTGTTGTACTGCTTTATATGCTCTTTTTTGCTTTGCATAATTTATCTTGAGTCTTTAAATTGGGACCTCAATATTTGTAGCAAGGATGTAACTATAAGCCGATTCACAGTTTAAACTGACAAGAACTGTTTACAAGTTAGGGGACTTCACATTTGACCTTCCAAATGCACAGTTTAAACTGTGAAAAGGCTTATTATCAAAGTTTACCTTGTTTTTATTGTGATTTTTTTAGACAGTTGAGATTCCTTCTGAACTCTGCTCTGTTAGAGAGGTCCCTCTAGCACCAATATTAACATTTGTCAGTTGCAATGCAAGCTGATTAGGGTTCATATAGCCAGTTTTTAAAAATCATTTAACGTTTTAGATTTTTAAGTCTCAACAACACCATTTTGTATAATAATCATAATCCTACTTATTTGACAATTTCTCAATATTTTTCAAGACAACAGATATTAAAATTTACAACTTGACCATATGAACCCAAGGATTAGTTTGTGCGGCAAATTTGCATTTATTTTAGCTCTACTGTGGGTTAATAGCTTTGAAAAGTAGTGCTTTTTAAATGAAGAAAAGGTGCCGATATTGTGAAGTAAGTCATGTTAGTTGGAGTTGTTAATTTTATTTTTAAGTTAAGCAGTTAAGCTTGTATCTTTACCCAAAGCCAGATTTGAAGCATTAATTACTAGTAAGAATATCTATATGTGCAAATGTCAGTGTTAGAGAAGTAAGTCATTAAAAGCAAATTACAGAGTGAAAAAACAGGTATAAGGCATAAAATCAATGGTGGGTGTTTAGATGGATGCTACAGTACAGATCTCAATTAACTTCCCTTCGCATGCATTTTACACGTTTTTGAATTATATATTTCTTGTCCAAATGTCGTGTAAATTGCATATAAATCGCAATTAAAAGGTGGTTAAAAGTTGTGTAACAGGTGGTAGAAATTTGTGCAAATGCCGTGTACACCACCTGTTACTGCACTTAGTAGCCACAATCACATGTGGCTATTTACAATGCATAACCACAAGTGATTACAGGAAATGTGTACGGTTTTTGCACACATTTCAGTTGAAAAACACATGGCTTTTACTTGCATTTCGCACAACCTTTGATCGTAATCTGCACGTGTGTAGATGGGAAGTTATCGGAGATGTGTACTGTAATGTATGAAATTAATTAAGATGGGTAGGAAAATATCTATGGAAGCATTGAACACAATGCACATCATAGCAGGTGGGGAGGGGGGCAGCTGTAGCATTGTTGCACAAGAGGGACGTCTCCTTTCAGGTGGCATCACCTGTAACCAGGGCTTCCTTCATCAGTTTTTTTGTGGACATATCATTTCTCCGGTCACATTCTGTCGTACAGGATTTCTCACCATTCTTTGACAAGATGTTAAAAATGTTCAGAGCCTCCTCAACATGAGTTTTCCTAGGTTATGACCTTTTTTTTCCTGCTGACATTTTGACGGGCAATGTGTTTTCTCCTCGTTGATTATCACGGCAAGATTGCATTCTTGAATGTCACTCAACTTCTTCTTGCCACTTTGTGGCAAAGCAACACAGTCCCAAACGTGACTAAGACTGATCAAATGAAGGCAGCAGAAAAGCTGTAAAATGTCAGTAGAGAAAAATAGGCTTGTGTACCTAGTAAGTAATTTATGTTGAATTTATCTCAACCTGATGAAACAATTTATGTATGTTTAGAGCCAATTTTTTTGTCAAGATTCAACATTGAGTACAACTTGTCAAAAGGAGGCGAGAAATGCTGTCCTGATCATGTGACCTTCCAAAATGGCGGGTCCACAAAAAAGCTGGACTGGGAGGCCATCTTACCGCCCGCCTCTCGTTGTGGTTACTCTTGGCTCCATTCCAGACAAACAGCGCGTTCCCGATGTCCAGGATGAAACTGTCGCCCTCGTTGAAGCTCTTCCATTCCATGGGAACCTGGGACAGCAACGAAAGTTCCAGAATTATGAAACATTTACTATTTAGAAATCTTTTGACTTTTGGGAAGTATTTGCGTTTTCATGACCATTAAGCTTACCACATTTTCTGTGTATGACCTTTTGACCACCTGCTATTCTGCCTGTCTATCTTCACCTACCCATGCACTATCAACCTACTCTCAAATTCACCATTTCCTGTGTCTGACCTTTTAACCTAGAGCCTGTCAATCCTCCCCACCCACGTGCTGCAAATTAAACACAGTGCAGCCACCCAAATCAAGCTTCTGTCTGGTTATTCCTCAACATGAAGTTGTCTTTGAAAACTATTTAGTCTGCAGAATTTCATCATTTTACAGCATAAACCTTCTTCAGTACCAAGGCCAGTACCGACTTGGCATGACCTTTCACCTCTGACCTGACCTGACCTATGTCCTGATTACCCACCTCAGTGGCCCTGACGTTGCGCTTGCCCTTCAGATGCAGCAGTCGTCTGACGTTGCTCATGTTTATCTCCACATGTTTGAAGCCAGAGGCAACACCTCCTTGTTTGTAACTGGAACAAAAAAACAAGCAAATCTTCATCAATATACAACAAGGGCTAGTATGATATATACAATTGAGGGGACTAATCATGAGTTTTTCTAATAACATAGCAGTCTTTTAGATATTTACCCAATTTTGCATTGTGAGAGTTACTGAATTTAAAGATACATTCAAATCTAGTTCTGTAGTATCTAGTCTCAAGAAATCCATTGTACTTGATGTGAGAAATGTGAAACCTTGTCAAAACCTAATTTTGGAGAATAGTAATAATAACACCAAGAAAAATGGCCCATCCAATTAACATATAATTATGTAGCCTGCTAGGGGCCTGACCAGTGGAAGGGCTGTTAGAAGTGTGATATAGTCGACTCACAGGCAAGGCATTTTAACCCCGCCCAAGTACGTACGTGACTCCCTTCTTGAAGCAGCCGGTGAAGGCGCTGGACTCGTGGCCCTGTACCTCCCGATGCTGGATGGGCGCCCCGCCCAGGCTGTCGTCAAGGGCAACCGTCAACATGGCTGCCGCACCAGCCTCATCCTGGGGACAGGTCAAAGGTCAAACTCTTCCAATGTGTACATCATTGGCACATAATGCAACATGCCCATCATTATTTTATAGGCACAGTACTAAAAAATGGAAAAAATTTAGAAGCTTTTAACTTTTGAAAATTCAATAACTTTAAACAATAATACATATTAAACTGTAATTTTTCATGACTAAAATTTGAAATTTCAGTACTTTGAGAAGATCTTTATTGCTAAGAAATATGTATCTATCTCACCTGTGAACACTCCTTGCCCAGCCAGAAGTAGAGGTCGTGAGCCAGGCTGCTCCCAGTTTTTCTGCTCTGTAGGTACAAAAAAAGAACAAGAAATCAGAGATTTTAGACTTCCAGTAAGTACTGTACAGTATTTTGGGATTTTGGGAAGTGTTTCAAGTTTGTATGAAGGAACATATAAGACCTGTTGAGGAGGTTGTATGATGTAATTTCATTGGGTATCACACCATTTTTTAAATTCCTCCAAATCTGTCATGCCACTTGCTACATACTTTAATCCAACACAGTGACCATAGGATGCCTGATACAGCACCAGTTACCATGGTAACAGCGGTCTGGTCCAGGTCATTGACCTTATTTGTCGGAAACAGGAGAAGAGGAAGAAAGAGAAAGAAGTATGCTTTCCTGCTGAAAAAGCAAGCATATAAATATTTAACAGTAGATGTACCTACCTTGAGTATAATGTATGCATCGCCTGTGAAAAACTGCCCATAGGTCGCCGCTGGAATTTCTTTTGGTTCCAATTTCTGGAAAAAGACAAAAACAACAGTTAAAACAAAACCTTTTGACAAATTAGAAAATATAAAATTGGCTATACTTGATTAGTTTTTTGAGACAGCACTTTTGAGTAATACAGGAAACATCTTGCAAATGATGCCCCTTAAAGTTTTCAGTACATTGAGCATTATTTCACCATTAAAGAAATAATGCAGCCCAAACACCATTTAAGAGAGGGTAAAATGCACTCTAATGTCATTAGAGATGAAATCAGAGTGGTCTGCTAACAGATTACTGTGGAAAATGTGTGAACACAATCTGATTACTAACTCAATTTGTAACGGAGATGGAAGTGATACGTATGTGTTAGGGTACTGTAACACCACAAAGCAATATGAAACTTAAACTCAGTCAGTAAATCAGCAAAAATTTTGGAAAGAAAGTAGAAAATTTACACACAGCTGCTAAAGACACCCAAAGCAATTTCAGGTCAGTGAAACTGGACTTTCCATGTCAATTTTCTGGTCATTTTTTTAATGTTACAGTAGTTAAGTTTAATCATCTCCATCCCAATTAGCATACTGATATCTGTGAGCCAAAAATGCAGTGTCACTGATAGAAAACAGTTTCTTGTTTCACATTGTAGCCTGGTTCTAGCTATTTATTGGTGGCACCAAAAAAGAAAGAGACTCCTCACATACCTGATTTGGGGCTATTTCAAACACTTCAAGTATGAAATGATGACGAAAATGTGCTAAAGAAATGGCAGTAATTTGAGTAAATGTCAATATCATTTCCTTATCCATGATGACACATTTCCTCATCCAGAATATTTTCTATACTGCCACCCTGAAATTGTGTTGGATGTCTTTAAAACAGCTTGATTGAAGATCAAGTTCAAGACTGACCTCGACCCTCCAGATCTTGAGTCCCTCGGACCGTCCCGCCCCCTTGAAGGCTGCAGGAATCACAGTGTCGCCCATCTTTCAACCTCCGTCCTCTCCTGAAACATAGGCAGGGGGAATATGCAAATTAGGGGCGGGATGTACCATTTCTAAACATGGAGGGAAGAAAGAGACATGACTGTCTAACAACTGAAACATGTAAATTCACAATGGGATCTTCCATTATCAAACAAGGGGGAATAAAGAGACATCATGTATATTGTATGGCCTAACGACTGAAACATGCAAATTAATGGGATCTTCCATTTTCAAACATGGAGGGGAGAAACAGGCGTGCTAGAATGACCTAATAACTAAAATATGCAAATTATGAATGGCATCTTCCATTTTCAAACAAGGAGGACAGAACAGAAACAGACATGACTGTACAGTCTAACTAACAACTAAAACATAAAAATTAATAATGGAATCTTCCATTATTAAACATGGAAGGTAGCAGGTAGTTACTTAGAACTGCATTACATAAACACACCAGAAGCACCTGTACTATAATGAGTCTACACCACCCTTCTAACATGCATAATTATCACATTGTTTTGTACACTGTAATAATTGTTTTATGCAAGCAATAGAACAGCAAAGATTTGTTATTCCTTCAGGGTAATGTTTGTAATGGTTGACTTGTGATTCAGTAACAGGATTGCTAACCGCTAGACCACAACATATTTCAACATTTTGTAGATGGCTAAATTTACAGAAAAGAAAGATATTTGAGAAGAAAGTTGGAGCTAAAAAGACACAGGCTCAAAATTATATATAGAACGGATACAACAAAATATCACAAACATTTTACAACCGTAGGATCTTTTCCAAGACAGCAATTTTCTACATGTGTGGTATACAATTCTAGGCTTTTGTCGTACGAATCCTTTTGTGATGGAGTCTAAATAACTTGTTTACAGACTTGCACCTGAATACACACAGATGAACAATGTTATTTGAGTAAAACCCTGAGTTGTGTGGACTTCTGAGGTCCCCTCTGTGTCCTGTGTTAGGTCATGACACCAGACTGATATACTGACCAGTGACTTCAAACTTTGTGAAAGGGTCACATGAATATATGAGGGAACGTCCAATAAGTTTAATCTTAGCTTCACCTAGAAACATGGGGCACATCTCAAATTTTGGGGCATAGTTTATCAAGGATAAAGCCTTTTATGAATGCCCACAAAAACTCAAAACATAACGTATACCTTACAAGCAAAGCCCTTTCAAAAATCAGTAAATGAGTGACAAGAAAAACATGGTATTTACAAAATGTAGAACAGTTGTGTTTCTGGTTTCCATCCTGAGTACATGACGTATTTATTTTGCTAGAGTATCACGCCTAGTAACCAAGTTATGTACCATAATTCTTGAAATGCTAGCGGTATTTCATTTTTACGATAACCTCTTCAACACGAAATTACGACCTTTAAAGAATAGGGGGTCTTCAATAATAATATACTATGATATAGAATTGTTCAACAGCAAACATAGGAAAAACCTCCTTTTCCTACCTAACACGAAATAAAACCATATTGCAAAAGTGAATAAATTTACAGTACCTGGCACACATATAAAACTAAATGGCAATATAGTACTAAAAATTTCTTCTATTGCCCCCACTATACACACAATTACCACATACCTTTACAGACAGGTAGGTTTTGGAGCTATTGTTGCCACTACAAAAGCATGACCTAGAAATCATCCTGTAATGGCTTCTATGGCCTATTGGCCCTTACCATGAATAATGTATACACCTACAGATATCAGATACGCATCTTCAACCTACAAGAAAATGTCACGTCAGAACAAGAAACATAAATTTGATCCTCAAATGTTTCGTTTGAAACTTATGAGTTATGATTTTAAAGACTGAAGGGTCAATTCATTGGAAGCATTTGAATATTACATAGATATTGTTACAGGAATGAATTTAAAGAAATATAATGTCACAACATATTTTACACCCCCAAGTCTTAATCATTATCATGGTATGTCCCTTAGCAATAGAAAAATTACTACCCTTCATATTATGTTTCTACAATAATGAGAAATAAAACCAGAAATACATCATTTCTTTGTGAGGTCATGTCAAGCCTAGAAATGAAGACATCATTAAAGATTCATAATCCTTTTCAGCTTTGCTAATCCTCAAGGGAGATTACCATGTTTAATCTTTTTCTCAAATCTGGAAATTCTTGTACCAGGTGCAGACCAACTGTGAAAAAAAGATGTCAGAGATTTCATACCTCCGTAAAAAATTGAATTTTTTCAACTTCTTGTTTTAGTCGTAATAATTGTTAATTTCTCTGTCTCTATACCATTTATTTTTCCATCACCATACGGACAACAGAACCTGCTGGATTGGGACCTAACTACCTGTGTCTGACCTTTTGTGGTATGTGGTTAAGTTCTTCCCTCACCCGCATGCTGTCACAAGCAAACACGCACGAACGACCCCCAACACACACACAAATACACAAACGAGTGACTAATATGCTACTAAGCTTACTCTAGACTAGGTAGAGTAGTCAAAGCAATGAAATTAGTACCTGTTGCCTAACCCCGCAGCCCTAACCCCATAAACTAATAAATACAGCAAAACAGCTACCTTTAGTTGGTAGCTCTTAGCCTTGAAGTATTGGAACCCTTTCCAAGACCTGGTTTGTTATGAACATAAATTTGCATGAGAATACCTCACAAGTGACCTCACTCCACCTTGCCCTTAAGGTTACAGACAATACATTTGGCATGTGTAAAATGCTGCTATATTTGAATGCACTTGCGCATGCAAAAACAAATAAGCCATTGTCTTTTTTCACATTATTGTTCCTGTGAAATTTCAAGGTTGCACTAACAGGCATCTAGGAGCGAAAACCTTGACCACACCATTGACAAATAAGAAGTCCTGCCGAAGTTTGTTTTGTTTTTCTAGCGTGGTGCTCAGAGAGGTATAGGATGCCCATATATGGGCAAAATCCTGTGTTGATTGTTCTACAAGACATTTATAGTACTTATGTAGCTTGAAGGCAATTGTTGTACTATATAAATTAAACAACTAATAGTCGGTAGTAATAGTAGTAACACAGTTGCCGAACTTGTTGACAATACATTTACAAAATACAAACCATTACGTATATAAAAACTGAAAATAAAATCTCTTGACAGTTGACAATTAGTACAAAATTTTACTAAAATTGTTAGAATAACTGTTACAGAGGCATGAGTATATTGAATTTGGCTACGAAAGTTCTATATGATTATAAACACATTATACAGATATGCAAAATTGACGGGCATTAGGATATAAAAAAAGGTCTTGAAATATTGATTATAAGCATTAACAAAACATAAATAAATGACATCAGCTTCCTATTTAAGTTGCGTACATGAAAATGAAATATTCTAAAACTCACCAAATGTAATTCAACTCTACAGAAACCAGTCTCAATGAAGCTTGTCCAACGAGACACAATATACTGTATCAAATGGTCCTAATCACTACTTATTGTTAGCTTTAGGAGTGGTCAAAACAGCCTTATTGTTGACCATTGGTGTGGTCATTAATAGTGCTTTATCTTAACTATATGGACACTGGGAGCTAATTTTGACAATAAAAATGTTACAACTTTACTGTAAAATGGGTTTAAACAAGACTGAGTATTCATTTGCATTAAGTGGGTCTATGGCCACTTAACATAAATTTTCAATGAGAACCTTAATAAGAATAATAATTAGAGCAATAATCAGCAATTATTAGTCTAGAGTAATTTAGTAAAAAGTTATACCATAAAATTTAAGAACAGGGTTCAGGTGTCAAAAGCCATCAACTTACATAGTCAGGACAATTTTTAAGAATGGTATAAAGTTTTATAAACTTAAAACATATACAGGATCTACAGAAATGATTTAGAAAGTAGTATCAATATTATACTTATAATGATCCTTATCAAAACTATGCAGAGAGGACATACTTGTACACACCATTTGGCACTTTTAACTATACAAACACACAACTTACATGCCTTTCAAGTCTTTTCAACAATCAAATCTCTTCCAAGTCACGAAAGAAAACATTTTTCTGCTTTCCGTAAGCTTCTTGGTATTGTTGGAATGTTTGGAGGTGGAAAGTGAAAGAAACAAGCCAGGTTTTTGTTCTACGCTTGGTTAAACGTAACTATATACAGTCAAATTTGATTTGTGAAGTGTGTTTATTTAGTCAGTTGTATCAAGTTCAAGTTAATGTTAGATCATTATGAACTGAAAAAAAAATTTAAGAAATAAAAAGAAGGAAAGGATATGTTGAACTTCAAAACTCTTTGGAACAATTAGCAAGTTAATCTAACCTTCAGTATGCTAAGGTAGCCGTTTACTACGGTTTAGTGGCAAATTTATATTGGTTATGGGGTTAGGCAGCAGGGACAAGGTTAAAATCACCTGTGCAAAGAAATTATGATTTAAAAGCACTCAGTCGGGTAACCAGAAACAACTTTTTTGTCCACCTAACCAGATGTTTTCAGTCTCCTTATTCATTGCTTCAATGGCTACAAACTATTTCTGTGTGAGGACATTGTGGGGTCAATTTAAGTCTTCTTAATATAATTTCTTAAGAAGCTCTGAGGAGTTGTCTTACAATCTTATCCTCCCCCATATAAAATAAAACTTTACTAAACTGAGTATTTCAGTTCGTAATCATATCTGTAACCCCTTTTAGATCCTTCCATTTGTGTCCAATGAAATGCTATACCTATAGCCCCTTTTGGACCCTCCAAGTGGTATCCAATGAAAGCATTGACTGATAGTTTAAGTTCATGTCTGTTGCTGTAATGCATTCCAGGGCCACATCCAAGCTTTTCTCAGTGTAAAACTATGTGCAGTTTCACACGAACACAGGAAATTCTCCTTCAACACATGACATCTGCACTGTTTCTTCTTTTCTAACCTTCTCCCTGATGCTTTTAACCCCCTAACTTATACAAATTTGGTTCCAAACAGCTACAAAATGTACCTTAGCAGGCTGAAGGTTCAAGTATGATTTGAACTCGATTTCCAAATATTTAATTTCTACATAATATAATTTTTCATCAGAATGCTGATTTACACTTTTCTTCAGTCTATAGAAAAAATTTGATACATTAGTAATTCATGGTCTCTTAAGTATGAATATCAAAAATGATAAAGATATTGTCTGTTCAGAAGTGGAAGTGAATGTTGGCAATGTGCCGTATTCTTATTTACCTTGTCTAGTAAACAAATTCATGTAAACAATGGTGCCAAAGTACATGACCATAAATGCTTTCGTTGCACTGCAACATTACATAATGTGGAAGTTAGGTTCGAACCTGAACCTGGTCCAACTCAAAATAACAAGAACCAAGTCCAGAAAAAAACTGCAAGTCCAAAATACATCATAAACATTTTGATTTAGACATCTTATAAGGTAACCTAGTCATTAAAGGTAAAAAAGTTATAAACCTGTGAATTTCAACATAATTTGCAGCTTCAGTCACGCTCTCAAAAATATGAATTATGATACATAGTATTGTATAACATTATTGTTTACTGTAATGCTAAAATAAATACACTGTAATCAGGTCCAGACCTGGACCTAACCCTCTTGACCTGGACTTGGACCTGATCAAGTCAAACTAGTACATACCCATATATGGAACATTATTTGGTTACCATAAAGAAAATGACTGTACTGTAATTGGGTTACACCCTTGTAATGTAAGGCCACGCCAATTTAATTTGTTGGTTCTCGGATTTTTTCAGAAAAAATATGAAGCGACAGGGCGAAAAAAAATAAAAATAAAAACAGGTCTAGGCATCCTATTATAGGCTTAAATGCTATGGAATGAGCCATGAAGTCAGCACAAAAGGCTGGGTTAAAATTTAAACATTGAATTTTGAACTTTTAATCAAACCACTGCAATGATAGATGGGAAAACTGTAACAACTAGGAAGAAAAGGACTTTCCTCAACTGTTGGGGGCAAAATATCAGCATTTTTCAGTTGATTCAGGACCAGAATCAAATTTTTTTTTTTTTTTGCAAATCAGAAAAAAACGAAGAGGCGAATCCGAGAACCAACAAATTAAATTGGTGTGGCCTAATGATAGAAGTAAAACAACCAACACTTGGGATGGGGTGGGCTTCTAATTAAGTGTGGCACAACGCCAGAAAGGAAATAAGAGTCAGACTCAGGAACTCAAGTCAGACTTAAGTCAGTTAGGTCTTTTCCAAGAAGAGATCGAAACGATAAGAAAAATGTACTGGCTTTCTAGTACTAGAAATTCTAGGTATAGTAGATCAGATCACTGATTGCGTTGTTTATAATGGTGTGGATTCTTAGAATGCATAACAAGGAAAATGGCCTGTTGAATGTTTTGGCGACTAATTACTTTGTGTTTGCCAACGTAATCAAATTGTGCAGCATTTTTCAATCGCTATGTCTACCCAACTGTTTCTGTGTGTCTATATCGAAGCTGTGCGCCTGAACAAGTTTTAGGTACATGTACACAGGTTTAGGTACAAGTACACAGGTTTAGGTACAGGTACACTGGGTTAGGTACAGGTCTGGACCTGTATACTTAAAACAAGTTTGGCCAGTGATCTGTAATACATGTAGCATGCAAGCTTTTTTTTATCTATTAGGTAGATTATTGTCTTTGAGTGAGGTTTAAATAATCTTGTTGCTAAAAACAATTCCCTATTTTCACGTGCTAAATTGTCAAAATTGTCATTTGTGAGATACAATTTACCTTTCGTCAGTGTAATTCATTCAGTGTAAAGACGGTGTTTTGTTTTGTTTTGTTTTGTTTTACCAGTTATTCAGGTCCGGACCTGTACCTAAATAATTCTAAATCCTTAGTAAAGGTACAGTTGTCAGATATAAGAAATGTACATAGGCCTAACATATGTACGCAATTGAATTCTATATACTGGTAAAAAAATCCAGGGTGTGGTGTCATCTTACGTTCTTATTTGTATACAGGGTGAAGCTATCGTACATTCCAGTGTAAATAACATCAACAATCACCTGTTTACTTAAGGGCTGGGTACACCCCGTCTTAAAACACGCCTAGCGCTAAAGTCATCCAAGCAACGAGATTGTTACATTATTTTCAGAGTTACCAAAATATACCATGTAGTGACGATTGTACGTTGTTGTTTTTTTAGATCCAAAATGACAACCAAGCAAAAACTTATCAGAAAAAATTATGTCATTTTTGCACAGCGATGTTGGTATTTGTATTAGCTAAAACTATTATCTACACGTTCTTCAAATATATCTTATTTAAATTATAATTAGGCGATAGATAGTGAGATATGGAAAAATCCGCTCTTATACATGTATACAAATTGACCTTTTTTTTTTGCTTTCTTAAGGGGGATCCTGTAGTACATAAATGGGTGTGCCCTTAAGAGGACAAAGGTTAAGAGAAGAATGCCTTAACAGGTTGTTAGTACGATAAACAAGAGTTTTCTGATCAGCCTTTGGGTCTTTTCTATACACCAGATTTCAACAGATGGCTTGAGAAGGTTATATACACTCCCTGGGGAACTATTAGGCACGAGAACAGGTCATTATTCTCCGTTAATCGCCCTGAATGACCAAAACTACTGTGTGCCGCCATCTTGGATTTCGATATCGCTATTTCCTGAGTGTGTATGTGTGTGTGCATGGTTGTTACGATTTATTTTTTCTGGAGACTTAAATACAACTTAAAGTTCGTCTTACGAAGACAGGCGACTGAGACGATCCAACACTTGACCTTCGTAATATATGACCCGGAAACTGTACCTTCCCAAAACAGGTTTGGGCTCTTAATCGCAACCTTAAAAGTGAACTTAAAACGTACAAAGCAACCCCTACACCCTCATACAGGAGATTTTAGGGAGTTTCTCGAGTGTAGTTCTTCTAGCCTGAATTTTTACAGTCGTAGAAGCAAACAGGCATTGTGAAGACAACATGAAAGAGTTCGATTCTCAGTATGCAAATACCGTGAAACGCGGACATACCTACAGCACCCCTCCCCTTCATTTGCTCTACCCAGGTGCTTCCCCGTTATATTTTACGACAATTCCAACTCCCCTCTCGTAACCTGGGTGTCAAGTTCCTTCTGTTGAGAGGTTCAGATGTACCGATGAAGTGTCACTTACCTTTAAATGCTCCAAGTTCCGGGTAGAGTAAGAAAATCCGCGTCTATCTGCCTCTTATTTCGATGGGGCGACCTGCACGAACACACCTCAGGCCAGCTGTGACCCGCCGCGCTATATCACTCCGCTACAACCCCTTATATTTCAGCCCAGTACATTTAATTCAAGTCACAAGCTTACAAAACACATGTCACATGTAGATAAGAGGATGAGTCACTTCCAGGAAGAAGAAAACGTGCAGAAGTTGGTGTCAGTGAGGGAGAGTGTGAGGGACTATTTTTCAGGGTGGACTAGGCGTGGGTGGTGACGCGTCCTAAAGGTAAATAGAAGTTGGTAGGGTGTGACCTTACCTGTTTTAGGGCGTGGTCAGCCTTGGGGCAGGTATGGAAATATTCTCAAGCGGAACACACCCGCTAAATCAGTTTATCTTGTGTAATCCGCTACAAGAATGACCGTTAGGTCAACTCCTTAGTGAGTAACAACCACTAAAGGGTTAGGAACATGGGCAAAGACATGTCGTTACAAATACACCTGCTATTTGGGCTAGCTATTACGAGTATTGAAGAAGTTGGTTTCTAGTTCGAGTTGTATTCTTAGCCCTAAACTTTTCTCCGTTACTATGATAAAATTAAGTAAACAGTCTGCGTAAGTCGTGTTTATGTCGAATTGTCTTCGAAGTTGAAATACCAGTGATTTTCTGAATTTTTGGCTTTCGTTATATAATTCAAGTTCAAGGAATTCCGCCCATGGACGCAGTGAATAACATTCCTGAGCCTTCAGATGTCTAAACTGCTTGAAATGTTTGTGATTTTTCTACGTCAATGTTTTCTTCGGGAGTACAATGCGCAAATGCCACAAACTCGTCGGTAAAACGTGTTTATTATTAAACATGGCTGACTGCTAGCAATTTTTTTAAAACTTGAAATATAAGGAATTACGATATAATACAAGATGCAACAAAGATATGTTGATGAGTTTTGTCAATGAAAATAGTTTTATTAAGAATTTCGATTCAGAAAGCTTTTAAACTGAGATGCTTTATTGGCAGCCTGTGCAACATTCCGATCATTGCGATTTGAAAACCATTACAGAATCGATCAAAGTACAGACCGATATGGTTAATCAATAACCAATAAACAAATTCCAAGCTGACATATCAGAGTGTAAACGCACATGAAAGCATCCACTAAAGTCCCTCATAAGTGTCATGTATGTAAACAGACGTGGCGAAGTTGCCACAGGTCAACCAGAGCGAGACGTCGTCCATTGAAAAAGAAACAGAAAAAACGGAGTATTTGTGAATTCATTGGTACAACCAAAGAGATGGGCAGAATTTTACCATTCAAAGGGTTCAGATGCCGCGGTTGAGAGCTGGCTTTATATAAGTGAGTGCTTAAGTGATGAAGTCGACTATCGTTATTGGCACATACCCCAGTAACTATGTGGGTGGATTCACTCCCTTCCAATCTGACAACTTGACCTGACGGTCAATTTGTGGTAACCAGATGTCTTTTAGAGTTTAAAGTCGCAAAATCTTGGGAAACCTCGCATCAGTGGAGTTTTTATTATATTTTTAAAAAATATCTTCTGCGTTAGGCGTTGTTTCTGTGGTGCCCACTGTAAGAATACTAAGAAATAAGTTGAATCAAATGGACTACATATACTCTGTAATTTTTCAAACTTCTTATCCCGTTTTTATTTTTGAAATTCTGAACTCACCAACCCCGTTCCGACACAAAAGTTGTCACGGTAATGATGACTAACTAGTAAACATATACACGAGTACGCCCTTACGGGACGTTTAAATCCCCCCTTGGCACTTGGTTACAGAAAATCTAAAAGCAAAGGGCGTTCACCAACAACGCCTATGTATCAAGCATATACATGTACTCTTCGAAGTACATGTAAATGCACAGTAGCTTGACAAACTGTACGTGCACAGTGATGCCGCACATTTCTTATGTATGCGAATGAAGGACATTTAATCAATCATAGACGTGTACATTATAACCTCTACGGTCTACCTCCCCCGGGAATGACATGGTCTACCCATTAGAAGAATTAAATTCCACTCTAGCTGCCCGTGTGGAGAGGAAATGAAAAGTTCGGGGGATTGGAAGGAAGAAGGCGGGCTGGGCGGAAACTGGCGGGCCAAGGTCAGGGGCGTGGGAGGGGGAAACCGTGCGTTTAGCTGTGACGACATTGTCTGAAAGCAGATGCATGGTTCCTACAAGCTTCTGATACTGATCTGGGTTTGTGTCTCTAGAGAGAACTGCGAAAATATTTTGCATGACCTCCATCGGCATGGTTCCAAACCATACAAAACGCCTGCACCGACGTGTAAAAAAGCCAGAAATACACATTTGCTACTAGATTTTAACGAAAACCACCTCCGGCCAGCGTTTTTTGTGAGTGACAGTGCTGTTAGAGAATCCCGGCTGAGAAGCTCAGCTGTCAAAAAACGTTGCAATACTCCGCCCTAACATCTGCTTGGAAATCAGGTGTGTATCATTCTGTCACACCGTGGTCTCACAGCGCCCCTGGTGGCCTGTATAAAAAAATGCCACTGGTGCACCAGTGGCTAAAACATTTCCCAAGATTCGCTCCCCAAGATCCGCTGGCAGGGAGCGGACTAAAGCTAACAACTTCAAGGCTGGACACCAGGCTATACCATGGCTAACCCTGTACAAGGCTGTTATGGTTTGTAGTATGACGCAATCACGCAACCACATATGTTAGTGACTCGTTCCCAG